GCTCAGTGAAGGGAGAAACAATCCTATTACTAAGCGAGCGAGGAATGAGTCCCTGCTAGTGCTAGTATTGGTTGGTCTTACTTTTTGATATATAGGATTGTGGTAACTGACAAAAACTCAAGATAGAGTTAGGGTGAAGCCACCCTCGGATGTTCCTCGATGTCACTGGGACATATACCGCTAGGATCTGCTTCAGCAAGTCTACTTCCAAAGGCCACTGTTCATTGACTCTCTTTGTCGTCGGCCTCTTTGCTATCGCAGGCTTAGGCGGACTGGAGCTTTTTTGTGAACCAACGAATTCAGACGTGCTCTTGCTTCTGGATTTTACGTCTTAGGTTTAACTCCTGCAGGTGTTACAACAGCATAATGTTTTATTAAGTGATGACATTGAGTCTGTTGCTGAAGCATTAGACGATGTAAGTTTAGATGATCTTGCTTTGCCTTTCGTGCCTATCCATTTTTCCTGCAGTAAGAAGGGGTAACATAGAATGGAAAGAAGAAGAAAATAGCTATAATCTTGCTTTAGAATTAGTAACTCAGACACAGAACACAGATTGATGGCTAATTTTGTACTATTTCAATTTGGTCTAATTTTATTCTATTTCAATGCGGTCATTTTCTAGATGCCAATGAAGAAGCTGTTTATGGTCGTTGAAATGGCTGCTCGTGTGAAAATGGAGGGGGAAGCAGAAAGCTATTTAGGGTCCGTTTGGCAAGACTTATACTTCTTGTAGAAGAGCTTCTTGATAATCCTATGCCAGTTTTTTTCTGAAAACTTTTCTAGTCAAACGAAACACTTCAAAAAAAGTATCCTAATATGTTAAAAAACAAATTTTATTCTTAGAAGTAGCTTTTGACTTTTCAAAAATCATGTCAAACGGACCCTTAATCTAGCAAAAAAAAGATCGCATATTACATATTTATGATTGCCTTCAAGATATGGCACGACATTAGTTTGGAAGTGTTCTTATCATCGTGATGATCACGTGCCCTAGAATTGCAGTTTTATATATAATATCGCCCACCTCTCAGAAGAGGATTTAGATGAGACCAAGTCGCTGCTTTTAGCAACGTGGCTAATCATTAAAATTTCGATTTGTTTGGTTCTTTGTTTTTGTAGAGAAGCCCTAGATTTTATTATCTTCCAAGTGACAAGCTCTTGCCATACTCTTTTTTGCTTCTATATTTTGATGGAGTGGGTGTATGTTTTTATCTGTCACGAGGCTAATTTTTGTTTGCCTACAATTTTCAAGTTCTTGTTCAAACGGTAGTATTGCCCATGAATAGACAAGACGCTTTCATTAAAGTTCAAAGTACAGTTCAGTTATGCGGATATGTTTCAGGAAAAAAAATTACTTTTAAGCTTAGCCAAACATGCTCGGCTAACGTTGTTGAATTACAGTCGAGGCAATATGTCAGAATCCCTGCTGGTCCATTATCCACAGGAGCTTCTAATTAACCTTATCTCAAAATCTTTTTGACTTGAAAACAGGAAACAACAAAAAAAGGAATGATAGAATCCTTATCTGTCGAATTGGAAATGAAACAACCCATAAATCCCATTATTTTTATTTTGAAAAAAGAAGAACAAGGAATTGTGATATCAGTAATTTTCAGAGCAAAATAATTCCCATTCTTTTGATAACTCAAATGGTTGCTCAACATTTGGATGGTTAAGATTTTGATGGAATTTGATCGTGTAAAAGTGAATTATGCTGAAATGCCAGAAAATGTATGATCGAAGGGGTGACCGACCCTCACATTGCACGTGGATCCCGAGTGAATAAAATAATGTCCGACCCCCGAGGTGTGTGTTCCGTCATCCACTATGTTATCTCCTATGTTCGTGTAGGATGATTCTATAAAAGTAGAGATCCAAGTATAGAAGTAAGGAATGAGCATAATATAACATGTTACACCTCGATCTATGAGGCAGGCCATGTGGCAGCCACTTAAACAAAAACCTAGCAAGAGGTCAAGCAAGGTCCCCACTCCGCTTTGGCATCGGCTCTTCCACAAGTGCCCGCCGAGGCAATTAGCACATACCGTTGGACATCTTGTCCGGAATATTGTTATTCAAGGCAAGGAGTCACCTTTCGATTGCAATGTGATTTCGAGGTGAGAGGCATGGCATCTTCCACAAGCCTCGTTTCAACCAAGTTGCACAGCACACTGCGCAAAGTGATAAATGTGACAATTCTATGGCAACGTCGTTCGATCAGATAACTTTTCGACCTATGCTCAGCTATGGAGACCATTTTTCAGCCCATGTTCTGGCTATGGAGGCCCTTGGGATTGATACAATTCAACTTGACCAGTAAGGAATTAGAATTAGGTAACGTGTCCAGCATTCAATGAACATGAGTTCATCTCTCTTGGTATAAATACTCAAATATAGTGACATCCAATGAATGAGAAATTAAAAGCAACATTACATTCTCAATCTTGATAATTCTCTTCAACCTGGCACTTACATTTCCCCAAATATTTCTTCCACCACTTGACTTGAGCATCGGATTGTCCTCTACTGCTGGAGATATATTCAAATGCAATATAACACCCTTGTCTAAGTGTGCAGATAACATATACGTGGACACGAGAAGAGTTAGGACTTTAAGGTCTACATAACATATTAATAACTTAATATTAACTTAGAAAGTTTAAGCGACCTAACATATAAATGAATGTCGAAAAGGTTGAATGACAAGTAAAAGAACATAATCACTAAATTAGTTTATAAACTCACAGATTATATTCCTCTAAAATGACTCTGTTGATGATACTGACATGAGAGGGTAATATGAAGCAGGGCCTCACCATTAGCAAAAAAATTCCTTGACACTTTTTTCTCAGAGTCGCGTTCTTCTCTTGTGCTTACGTGGGGCCCGGTTAAAAGAACCCATTACTGGACCCCACAACCCCATTTCTCAATTCTCCAACTATAAATAGCAGCTCCAGAATGAAGCTTGAAGATCATAGCAAGCACCAATTCACATATCCAATTTCTATTATCTGCTTCGTTTGGCATCTATTCAACCATGTCGGACAAGTGTGGAAACTGCGGTTGCTTTGATAAGAGCCAGTGCGTGTAAGTAATTCTTATAGTTTTTCCTCTACTTAACTAAGCTTTATCAACTCGATAATTGCAGGAAGAAGGGAAGTGCCTATGGTATCGACATAATCGAGACAGAGACGAGGTATCTTAAATTTCTTGGTTAACAAACTTCATTCTTCTAGACAGTTGAAACCCACAAAATGGAAATCAGAAAAAAATCAGTTAATTCCTTTTTATCAAAATCCATGCAAAATAGAAGAGTAATGCAAGTCTTTATATTTTGTATTTTTGTATTTTTTGTTTCATGTTATATTATCATACCGATAACTGTGCTGCCGGACTTTGATATTGCACCTACATCGAGACGGTCGTGATGGATGCTCTGGCAGCGGCCGAGAACTGCGGCAAGTGCAAGTGTGGCACAAGCTGCTGTTGCACCAATTGTACTTGTTCTCACTGAACACACAAATATTTAATGCTATCTCTATATGTAATATATAGCATGATGAAATAAGTTTGTGACATCGTGGTCTGGGTTATTGAGTGAAATGTGAGTGTCAGTCAACTTGTGCTCTATCTATGTAAGGTTCTCTGTCTTTGTGTTGTTAATGAAACTCTATTATTAGGTTTCTAATATTTTCTGCTGTTTGTTCCCAACAAATTAGAATTATATGCCCACAACATGGAACATTATCGTGGGCAACCACCATTGCTTGTCATCGACTGTGTTTTCCATTGACCATTATCTATTAAATTGTCAATTCTAATCGCCAGTCGATCACTAGAGTTCATGTTGCCATGTTCAGCATGATCAAAAAGGAAAAGGAATGAGAAAGTGGATGAGAGAGAACACAAAAAACAAAGAATCTGTAAACGAAAAACCAAAAGCCAAAGAATATGCTGCTTTCCATTTTATTTTAGGTCACAGGGAGAGAAAGATTCTGGCAAATAATGAAAGCAGAAATATGCGACGAAATTTAAAGTTCGTCTCAATTCATTAAACAAACAGACAATCAAATTCTTGATCATGCAAGAAAAGGGTAAACAGACAAGACAATCAGGGTACCCAAACGAGATATCCATGTCATCTGCATTGTAATGAATTGAAACCTTCATTCTTATGCAGGCAGCAACTCTGTATGAATAGTCTGTACTAATTTTTCAATCAATAGACGAGTGAGTAGTCAACGCCAACCAAAGATAGAATTTCCAATGAAGGGGTCCGTATATCCAGTTTCAACGATGTGTTCCAATTTATAGCAGAAGTAGCAAGTTTGACAGAATGATGTTACTTAACAAGAAGATGAACAACAAAGACCAAACAAATTCACATGAACTAACCATTTCACTTTCTTTGTAGACTCTGGGCGGGTAGGCGTTCTTTGCAACTATGCCTTTCAATGATTGACGTCAACAATATCAACACAAGATTAAGAGTAGAGAATGTTAAGCATATGCAGGAAAATAAACACAAAATCAAGAATGAACATCAAGAGATATCTCACATTTCATTACTTATTTGAGAAGTTTTACAGCAAAGATTATCTCTAACAAGATAACAAGCAAAACTTGTACACGAAAGACCAAAAATGAAAATAAGGAAGTTTTTCATGATCTAATCAAAGTTTCAAAGGTATACAAGATCTATCTGAGAAATGTTAACCTTGTATTGCTGGATCAAATCCAGTGTGTAATGATTCCCGAGCAAACCATTATGCTTGGCAAGATTTCTATCAATTCTCCATATCCAACTTTGAATAGAGGATCAAATCCTGAAATCAATTCTCCATATCCAACTTTGAATAGAGGATCAAATCCATTCGACAAATTTGAATCAATGAGAATTCCGACATTTATGTCACAATTTTACACCTCAACACCAAGCAAACATCAAAGATCTGTATTTCCATAACAGAGATTGATCATCACCGGTTCCCAACTAGAACTAATCATACTTCTCTCTCCATGAATACACAAGAAAGAAAACCCAAGAAAGTCCCAATGCAATATCCCCAACAACAAGCCTAAGCCAATCACGGCCTAGATCTTCGACCTTCCTTCCAAAGTAAATTCTCCAAATAGCCATTGCTACATGGAGAAGGACACAGCCCTTGGCAAAGAAGCTATGAAACTCTCTGTCCTTCACAAATGCCACCATAAACAAGAGAAACCCAACAGCAAACAAAAGCAAACCCGAAAACGAGTCTGACGTTTGGATTAACAGCTGATCATGGGGTGTTGAACCCATAAGCTTGCTGGCATGTTCTTTACCATGGCTAAACACAAACACCTCATTGCTATAGAACATCATTAGAGCTCCACAGGTTAAAGCCATCAAAGAATGGAGCATACATATAAGAAAAAACCCAGGTGACACCATTGATCGTTCAAAACTCAATTGCTAGGTTACACCCTCCAACTATAGAAAAACACCATATTCATTGATGCATATTTCAGAGTAATCAAATCAACAACAGAACAATTTAACTCGAGAAAAATACATCAATTATCCAAAACCCACAAGATATTTCCTTCTGAAAACAAGTTTCTTTGACTGAAACAACAATTAAGAACCTATATCACAGCCCCTTTGTAGATCCCCAAGAAGGGCTTCTATGAATAAATAACGTAATCGGCAAAGGGCATACATTGAGAGAGAAAGACAGATCCAAGATTCAAAACCCTGAGACACATATGAAGAGTAAACAAGTAAGGAATAGATGGAATATAAAAAGGGGGTTTTAGAAAAGATCAGAGCATTTCAATTTAAGGTAACAAGAAAGTTTCTTGCAGCTAATCAGCCAGTATTAACAGGTAACTTTAATACAAAAATGGAAAAGAAATCAACTTTTATTAATTAATTTTATTTAAAATTATTATCTTGATGTTCTTGATATTGCTCATTCCATACCTACACCTTGTGGATCTTTTTAGTTTTTATTCAACATGGCCCCATCAGATCATGGATTTACATTATCTCTTTGAATGATGATTTAAATATTGTATTGGATATGGTTGTTGCTGATAATAATGTAAATCAGAGGGGTCACAAATCATGCGTAAGGATTTTTATTAATCTTCTTGTCTGTATCTGTGAATTATGAAAAGTTGAATTCTTCGACTTTCTTATCTTTCTCAAAGGACTAACGGATGAATTCTCCAACTTTCAATTACTTCAACACTCCGTTTTTTAAGATGAAAAATGATTTATTAAACGTCGATAATTAGCATAAAATGTACAAGGCATATAATGACTAACTGTTAATTAAAACGACATATGCATTCGACTAAAAAACGAGAAAAAAATTATTTGATTGTGAGATCTACTCCGAATATTTTAAGTTTTTTTTTTTTAATGAGATCTACGAGTCAAAGAAATTGAAGATTAGCCCATGTTTGGTGTGGATTAATATCAGATTTTTAGAAAATTTTTATAAAAGTTGATGGAATATGTTGTTAAGAAGCAGTGGATCTCATAAAATATGTGATTGAAATTAATTGTTTGGTCCGGATTAAAATCTGATTCTAATCTAAATCAAAGTCAAACAATCAATATTAACCACATCTTTCATGGGTCCCACAACTTTTAAACCACGCGTTTCAAAAACTTCTATTACAATCTACTAAAAATCTAATTTTAATCTCCACCAAACACCTTCTTAAATTAAAATCTAGATTTTAATCACAACCAAACCGCGGCTAAAAACGCAAATGACAAGAAGAAATGCCGAATAAAAACCCCCCAAGTCGTCTTTATAGTTGAGAACAGCTAGAGTAGTTTTATTCGTCGACAATGGTAATGAGCAATCATCTTCAACTATTGCATTGTTCGATAAAGCCAGAATATAATTTCATTAATTTAACAATGTAATAGTGACCAAAAAGAATAGAAAGAATAGATTCTTTAAAGAAATATGTAAATAAAGCCATAAAAGTTCATTATTCATCCACAAGATTGGCTTCAAATAAAAGGGATTTCAAATTTCCAAAAGCAAGTCATATAAAGTCACAATGAAAGGCAAATAGCTCAACAATATCAAAGGTGCAGTTGAATTTCTGAATCCATGAACTTGTCAAAATTATTGGCATTTAGTATTTACAGCAAGAAAGAATTGATATTGACAATTTTGCACAAAATTCAAGTATTTTTTTTCTTTCGTATTTCGATCTCTACTAAAAATATGCAACTATAACCTAGAAAAATCTGAAAAAAATGTCCTATTTTTGTCAAATAAAAGGGACAAAAAACTTAATTTTGGCACCAAAAGGAGAAAATTTAATTCAAGCATTTTCCCTATTTCGGGGGACTTTACGGTGCCTCCTTGAGCCAGATCTCCTATCTCCTTTTCCACGTCGAACAGGAGGTCCCTTAGCAGGATTTCTGTCACGAACTATAGGTAGCGGAGTATAACTTCTTGCAACAGCCATATGTGCCCTTTGTTCCAACAAATCTCTGTGATATACCTGTAAATGAATGGATTGATAAAGTATTTTGCATCTACTACAATAGTTGTAAACAGTAACTTAGAAGCATTATCACAATTTAACAAAAAATGTCAACATGTTTTAAATTGAAACTATCATGTTCAACGTTTCAGGAATATAGCGACTCAATACCATATTTTATTGCAAGAAGAGGCCATTACAAATTTCAAGATACCAAGATCGTAACAAAAATGACCATTGAGTACTTAATCGGAGATCCTGTAACATCCAAAGCAGTCCAACGATTACATAGAAAATTGTTTCTCAACCAGTAAACCAATAGGCAATAAATCAAATACTAAGTAACCTCATACGTCTTTCTAATTTTTTCCTGGCTCAAACTTACTAATTAGCTAAACAAGGAGAGAATTGACTCTCTCAAATATGCATGCATGGGTACAGACAGGGCACCTTGTTCTTCAACCATTTCTTTAACTGAATAAATTTTATGCAAACCATCAGAAAGAATATTCAGAGCTTGTTTGCCTTTCATTATATTCTCCTTATACTTAAAGGTCAAAGTCAAACTTTAATTTAAACCCCACATTTTATAAGAACCACAAATACTATCCACTTATGCACCACTCTTTTCTATCACGATATAATTTCAGCAATTTATACTGAAACCCAAACAAGCACTTAAGAATATTTTCAACTGATAACCTAATAATTATCTAACAAGAAAAGATTTTCTATTTTCAACATGCATGCACCACTTTCTGCTTCGACATTTTCTTTAACCGGACATTATCGATGCAAATAATGGTACAGCCTTACAACCATTTAATTAATACATGGTCTGCAGGAAAACAAGCATTTTGCAGATTAACACCCCTTGAAATAAAAACCTCCCCGGGTAACAAAACACCGGATTGGCATCCTGATGCCCTCTTCTAACCAAAAATAAAAAACATGGTATGATGTCCTTTTGTATTATAAAGAATGGAGAAAAGTGAAACCTGTATCACGAAATTTCGTCTTTCACAGTCAAGAAACATACTGATGCTCCAGTCAACTTTAGCCATTATTTTATCCCTCACAGTTGAAAAGCTCAGCTGATCCCGGGAAGTAAAACGATCAACTTCATTGAACCATAGGCAGGTGAAAAGATTTGTGATGGGAATATGCTCTCTTATTATCACACATCCTTCAGGAACATCTGCAGAAATTTGGCCAGTTTAAGCTAATTTTAATGTTTTTTAGAAGGAAAATGAGCCAAAACGTACAAATAACAGACATACCACTAGTTATAGGAAGCTTAGCTGCAGAGTATGGCGTTAAACCCTCCTTTTCATAAAATTTTATCTGGGAATCAATAGAAACATTGCTGTATTTTCCTGCAGCTTTATTTGCCTCAGCTTCTTCAAATACATCAAAGCGTCTATAGTGTCTTGATATGGCAAAAGTGGCATTTTGGCGCCACAAGAACCTGAGGAATATAGTTGAGGAATGAGTCGGGTAGTAACTTGAGTAGCCATTGCACAACACAATTAATACTACAGTACCTCTCAAGAATTTGGTATGGATCCACAACAAGCTGAAGCTTTGCATCTATCCAGATAGAGTATCGGATGTTGGGAAAGAGCCTGTGCAGTAAGAGCTTTGGCACCTGCCACAATTAAATATTACAAACAACCATTACCGTCTTTGCAACAACATAACAAAAGTACAAATTGTTTCGAATTTATATTTTTTCCAGCTATGGAAAGTAGAAAGGGAAAAAGATTCCAAACAAAGGGAACTGACCTTTCCATTTCTCCTTGCGTCAGTGTAAGGCACGTTGTGGACAACAATAATCCGCCATATCCCAACTCTTTTGTCACTTCCCAAGAGACTAGCATTCTTTATAAACGCTTCAGTCTCTTCATCAACAAACATATAAAAGCGAACATTTTCTCTTGCAGTTTCACCAATATTCCTTGGCTGTTGAATTATGTCATAATTTCCTGTACAGAAATCAAACCGAAAGAAACAGATAATAAGCTTGGTAGACAAATTAAGTGTATAAAGAGACATCAGACAACAACATGCAAGCATTTCCACGTGTTTAGCAGTGGTATTAGTAGTCTCCAATGGTGAAATATTGTATACATGAAGTTTTGAAACTTTAGTAAAGCTTATATTCAGCTTTACCAAATATGGCAGAGGCAACAATAACTTCATGGAATTGCTCCAACTCCACCAGATCAGCCACATCAATATCAAATCCAGTACCATCACCTGGTCTGCATCCTTTGACAAATCTGGAAAAGAAAAGGCAAAAAAGTAAAGGGAATATGCATTAGATAAAATCTATAGAATCATACTTCAAATGTTTTCAGACTAAATTATTATATTCCCCACAAATTGGGGCCATGTACTGAGAAAACTAACAAAAGGAGTGACACTAACCCACAATGCACAGTCATTGACTCTTTTATATCAAAAGAATCATTCCTCTGCTTTAGAGAAGGATAGCCACCAAACTCAGAGCCTCCAGGTCGTTCAGTTCTAATAGGATTTTCCTCAGAAATATAAGTTAAATGACGGAGCACAGGAGATGCTGAAGGGGTCCTGGGCATATACGCTATAGCTTGTTCCACAGGAGCATAACATACTGGACATGCTGAGGACAACGAATAAAGTGAGAATAAGATCAAAAGCTCTAAATCGGTAGTGGCACAGACACGCGACAATAAGAGGAACTCAATTCTTACAATTGATAAATATTTTCTTTACTCACAATATTCGGGTTAGAAGCTCAGTAGATATATGCTGCAAAAAGAAATACATAGAAAAAATTATTTGAGCTAACACAACTTACGGCGTGGTCCAATTCGTCTCCTATCACCAGGAGGAGGAGGGGGAAATGCAAAATCTTTACATGGATTCTTCAAAGCAGTGGCAGCACCAAAAGTGACACTTGAAGCAGAAGCATGTGAAAGAGAAGTATGCCAGCCAGTATTCTCATGACATACTGTAACTTTATTCATCATAGTGTTACTACCATATTGCCATACTTCTTTTATAGGCAAATATGAGGATATATTATGAGACTGGTTGTAAAATCTTGAATCGAAATTCAAAGCAGAGCTTTCCAAATCATTCTCTGACAACAACACATCAATTATATTTTATTAACCCAGTCAAGAGATGAGTAATGTGATTTAAATCAAAAAGAATTTAAATCAAATTTTCATGCTAGGGATGTTAAACAGAGCATGTCTAGCAAACAAAATACATACACATTCTCTGGTGCAAAGGTGTAGTGACAAAAACATACCAAAACAGAAAATGAAAAGTCGAAAAATATAATAAATAACAAGATCTCTTTCTTTTTTCTTAAATATGCCAAAAAAGGAAATGTTAATATAGCTTTTGTGGATCAATCAGATGTAACTGACTAAATGATCAAGATGATTATTTCGTCTGGCATTGATAACATTTTATTAATATGATGGAAATAAAAATGATGAAAGAGATCTACAGGGCGAACCTCTAGGGACTGTAATGCACCCTGTCATAAAAGCCAAGATTGCAAAGACAGCCAAAATCAGCATTCCAACTTTCCTTCGACTTGAATATCTGAAAAAACAAGAAAGAAACCTTTCCTTCTCCCTAGCACCGGAACTGTATATCTTTGAAGTCTTACGAACAATGTACAAATTCTGAGCCTGCAACCCTTCACTCTGTGCCTGCAGCTGCAGTGACCCAAAACTTGACGATGTTCTAAGACCCACCGACGCTCCATTCATTATATCTCCAATACCCAAATAACCTTCATCTCCTTTTGCCCTCAAATCTCCCCTTCAACCACAAATAAACCCAAGTGTACCACACCAGAATCAGAAATCACCATCCAAGTAACAATAACTTAATATATTACAGACGAAACTAAAATAAATTAACAAAATCCAAATTCAGCAAATTCAGCATACATGAAACAATAGAAGAGAAATCAAAACTCAGTTATTAAAAATTCTCATCAACTCACCAAATCTATCGTTCATATAAAGCTAAAGCTCGACTTTACTCCTCAACACAAAAGTTCAACCATTTTCCTCAGAAAATAGCGCCGCAATGCAAAAATTGACTTATAAATTATAAAACCACTAACAGGAATTCCAGTTTACACACACAAACTACCGATCAAGGGGAATCATAAATCAGATACATACTTTCACTTAGTTACAAGCTTAATCCGATATCGAACTTTTAGAATTACACAAACATTATGAATCTAGATCAATGCGGCCTATTATAGATGATCAAAACCATCAAACAACAATATTTACGAACATTAAATTAAGCTGTTTACCTTTGTATAATGTGTATGCATTAAACAGGATAATATTTTTGCGGAGATAAAGATTCGAAGATTTCTTCGCCTTGGTCTTGGTCTTTATCTCTCTAGAAACAGTTGCGTCGTCGATTTGGTGAGTCTACAGTGTTTAATTAATTAATGTTTATTGATAAATCCTATAATTATTCTCTAATTAAATTATTAATAGCGCGAATTTTTACCTAAGGGATAGTTCAGTTTCATCTTTTTATTGTTTTTTAGTTTTTTTCTTCAGTAATATTATTCTCAATGGAAGAATTGCAATTGCAGTCCCTAGCATCTAATCCCTCATGCACTTTAGTTTTTAATTTATTTTTTTTGACATTAAGGTACTCGATTGAATTGAAAAATATAATAGATCCCTTTTTTCTTTTTCTTTTTTCAAATTCCACCCCAACTATCTTCAATCCTTATAATATGGTACAGTGTTAGGGTGGGTGCAAATGTTACTTTTTGGATGAATAAGAATGATCGTTGAAGAGAATTGATGATTTGATTTCTGCAACCAAATAGAAGTCTTAAAAGGTAAGTCGAAAGGGTTTTAGGCATAGACCTCATCGATGCTCAAGTAAAAATTGAAAAGTTGTGAAATGATAGATGATAGGAGTTATTAGTTGGAATAACTTGTAGAAAGATGTTACATTTGGCTTTCACTATTGACCCTTTGTAGCGTTGCTTAGACTAGCTGTCTTTGAAAAGAACGTGCGTTTCTTGATCGTTAATTATATTGTCGGTTTCCTTATTTGCCTTAGTCACATCCCTGATTTCATGAGATGGGTTGACTAGCCCTGGAAATCATTAGCCTGATTATGCTTGGGCCGTGATTAAGTCCTTGTTTGGCAGTACTTTAAATATTATAAGTCATCAATCCTACAGAATGCATGGATAATAAATGAATAGAATATTCTAATGTATCAACAGTCAAAATGTATACTGAGTTGAGAAACATTTGTTCATTGATAAACTATAATCTGCAGATTCGGGTACAATCAAATGGAAGAGTTGTATGCATGACTAAACCGTGAGATTATCTCCTAGGGCACCTCTACTATGATACAATACTCTCAAGACTTGATATTCTTGAAACTCATGAAGAAAGATGCACGTTCTGTGCACCTTTATCCGTAGTTTATCAAGAACAATAGGATATTAGTCTAACCACATGGATGTTTAGCTACCTTGGCTGACAACAGTTTATTTATAAGTTGTTGAAGCCTCTGTGCGCCTCTACCTGGTCTGAGTATGGTGGGATTACCTACCTTGGTGCACCGAGGCTCGCCTTTGCACCATCCACCAGGTGTGAAACTACCATTTCTTCGACCGAGTAATTCTCGGTCAATTTTGTCCAGTACACGAGTATCTTTCTTGAACTTGCGTGCAAATGCAGCACCACTGTGGATCATTTTTGCTGTATCATTAAGGGAGAGGGTACGGGGATGCTGTTTTGGGGGGATATCCCAAGAAATATAATGCATGTCGTGGTTGACAACAGATGATTTAAATTCTGGGGCATTGCATATAACAGTCTGAAAATAGCCTTCCGGGGAGGACACGAAATTTGAGTAATACATGAGTAGGGTTCTCGGAAGATTATCCCAACCCCATATGCAATACTCCACAAATTGACGTGATAAGATCGTCCAAGCTGAACCTGCAAAACACAGTGTGGTAAATTCAGGAAATGCTACTTTACAGGATCAATTGAGCTGATGATTTGATAATTTACATTCGGGGAATGAATGATTTGAATATATCAACGAGTCAAATGTGTGAACTGACCAGTGAACAATCTGAACGCAGTGGGTAAGGTTCTCCCAGGTGAAACCCAAAATATATTAGACTTGTTTTTCTGGTACAGGCCAGGGTCTATAATCAATGGCATTCCCCTTCCATGCCTGAAAGAAAATCAAATATATATTAAGTGTTAATGGTTTTCCATCTTATCAATCATCAAATGTGAATCAAATAAACACACAAAACTTACGTTTTCCATCCTAAATTGCTTGTATGCTCAATGAAATTCAGTTTACGGCTTATATTGGAAAATGTGTACATAAGATCTGCAACAATGAACTGGCTAAGTTAAAAGAACGCCGAGCAAAATAGATGGTGCAAACTTGCTGTATGTAAGCAAAGACAATTGAAAAAGCTCACCATCTTGAGTCACCAGGGGGTAATCTGAAGCGCTGAGGTTAATAAACCAATCCCAATCTTTATGTTGTTTTAGAAGAATGGCACATGCATGAAGAGTATTAGATACCATGGTAGGTCCTCTATAAGTAACCGTATTCGCTTTGGTAATCACATACACATTACCAACCTCAGCAAAAATAGGATCATTTTTCACTCGAGAATTGAGCTCATTTCTCTCCTCTGAAGGTGATTCAAGATCCAAATGAACAACATAATAATTCCATGGATGATACAGTGTATGTAGTGTCCTCCAAAGCTTGTCTAAATCGCCCTTCGACCCAGAAACCAAATAAGCAAACTTCGGAATGGAAGGAACAGCAGAAAGCTGTTGTGGAGCTTGATTAACCTTCGCCTCAAAGTAAACGTTGGTTTGATTGGACACAGCACGGGGCAGGAAGACTGAAAAGATAGAATTGATTGTGTGCAACGAGGAAACAAGGCCCATACTGAAGGAGTTTGCAAGAAGGAAAACACACAGTAAAGAACTTATAACAAGAGGAAATACCCATTTCTTCTCTGTATTCACGTGCCCCATTGTTAAAACTTTCCACCAAAAAATTCTTATCAACTGAATTGCTTTCTGTTCTGATCAATTCAATAATTAGCCCCTGAAGGTACCAATAAATGGGTGGATTGATCAGTCCCACAGTGACACCAAATGTTCAAACAAGGATCAACGCCGTGGTTAAGTAGATTCCCTGAATTGTACTCTCCCAGAGATAATTATGGCTGTTGAATTGAAAAACAATACCAAAGAACTGAATTTTGTCTTGGCCGAATAATTTAGTACTATTTTCAACGAAGAAATCAAAGACTCCGTAAATAACTAAGCCAAGGACTGATCAAGGAACATCAATACACTCCCACATGTTATATGATTATAAGAATTGAGCATAAAAGGCCAGAAATCTCGCATCAATAAATCGAAACTGTAAACAATTGGTGCCGAAATTATTATTATCCAATGAGCTTGTACATGAAAATACCGATTTCTAATTAAATCTTCAGATAATAGTCCCAAATTATGAGACCCAGTGCTGAGTATCAACGATTCAACAGTTCAAATTAGTAAACACACAAAAATCTAATCAATAGTTTTGGAGCAATAGATCACCAATAAATTTATCCAAAGCTATATATAAAGTATAAACACACTGCAAACTCTACGTATCGGAGAATATACATACATGCATAAAAAAACTAACAATCAAATCACAGCTAATTCTCGAAAACTACATATACATACACGAATGAATCTGCTATGTCACTACGTATACACGTGTGTGAGAATACGAACCTTCTTGTTGTCGTTGATGGCTAAAGCGAATGTTGAGGAACAGAAAGGATTAACACAGAATATTCAATCAATTGGAATCGGAGAAAGTCACACACACGTACACACAGAATCTGCAATTTTTCCTGTGTATCAGTGTATGTATGTATGTGTGTGTTTTTTCTGTTTTTTCTTTAGGAGAAGAAAATGGATTTATTTATTTGTTAAGATATAAAATTGTATTTATTCTCTTTCTTTTTTCTTATAGAAAATTTTCCATTATTTTGGCATTTTTGTACCCAATATTCAAAATAATTTTCTACCACAAATTTTACGTCCAACGGTCTCTCAATTTATCCCCTGTTTGGTGTAGATTTTAATCTGATTAAATTTCAAGGCAAAATCAAGTGCGTGAATAATATTATCGCAGATTCGTCGTTTGGTGAGTTAAACATACACGTGTGAAAAAATATAATACTTCACGATTGTTAACATAACCGAATATGATAATAAAATGCATCAAGTTTGAGATTATTATGAAAATGATTATCATAATGAATAAAAGGTTCGTTTGACGAGGCTTTCTAAAAATCAAAAACTGCTTATGAGATTAAGGGCGTGTTCGGTAGAGNATGAGATTAAGGGCGTGTTCGATAGAGATTAAAATCCAATTAAAATTGAAAATATAGTCGTTATTGGGTCTCACTCGTCTAATAAAAGTCAACAATAACGACTAGTTTTTCAATTTTAATCCGATTTTAATCTCTACCAAACGCACTCTAAGAAGCTACTTTTGGATTCTGATGAATAATTTTCTGAAAGTATTTTGTTAGAATAGAAGAGCTCTTAAAGAAAAATGACTTAAAATAGCTCGTCGCAAGAAGCAGAAGTGAAAAAAGAAATTCTGTCAAATGAGTCCTAAATTCAAAATGTGTAGTTAATTACTCCAACGATACAATTACTCAAATAGAGAGAAGTTAATGAAGAAATTCTTATTATAATATAATCTAATTACATTGTTTTCATCTCTTATTTAATTCATCATCAATATAATTTAATTACATAATTAATTGAAGTTTCTCGTCCATAAATAGGTAGAAAAAGGATAGGGCCGTTGACGTTGACTTTGACTTCAAGGAGTCCACATTATTTTAAAAATATCTTTTTCTGCCTTTATTTTTAATCACTCGTTTTTCATAAAATAATATTACAAATAAATTCAAAAAATTTCTTTACTTTTTAACCACATATTTTCTAAAAAATTACCATACAAAAATACATTTTTTTCAATTTTTCGTTAAAATAGAGCCTAAACAAAGGCTTAGTTTTTAAGCTCTGTTTGGTTTAGCTAAAAAAAATATTTTTAATTTTGATAAAAATTGATTAAATGTGTGATAAATAATAATAAAAATTGTATGTCTCATTAAATATATGGTTGAAAATGAATTTGAAGATTTTAAACAGATTGTGAAATAATTTAATGAGTATATAAATAATCGTGAGATCAAAATTTGATTGATAAAAAATTAAAATTAAAATTTAAGCCTCTGGTCCGGATTAAAATCTGATTTTAATCCAAGTCAAAGTCAAACAATCAATATTAACCACATCTTTAATGGGTCCCACAACTTTTCAACCACACATTTCAAAAATTTCTACCACAATCCACTAAAAATCTAATTTTAATCCCCACCAAACACCCTATAAGTGAAAGTTAATTCATTCGACGATCACGTAAGTTTCAAAATAATTTTAAAATTATTATTGGAGTTATTTTCTTGTAGAGTTTTTTGTTAATAACATCAAGGTAAAAGATTGATGGGATGGCGTTAAAATCCACCTTGGCAAATACGAAGTTAATGAAATTGTCCCCTAAATAAAATCGCCCTTAAAGACATACATCCAACCCTTAATTTCTTCTTTTATTTAAAAGCCAATCTTCCACCCCTAAATCAAATCAAACTACATATCAACCCTAACCTATGTTCCCTTCCAATCGAAGGGAGTTTCAAACTAGGCATTGTATATATTCTCTAGTTTGATAGGTTACGGGTTTTTGCAGGATAAATATGGAATTTTGTCAGGTCAATCTCGAGTTTACTATATAAAATTGAGGTTGTTGGACAAATATTGAGCCCGTTCGATTGTCTAATTTCAAACGTTACACTGATCATAGAAAAAAAAAATCCGAAACTAATTTTTTTTTTAAATAAACAATTTGAAGATAGCTAAAAAGATCCTATTTTGTACGTAACGTAAAATCATTTCTGTAAAATGTAAGTTATTTCTAGTAATCAAGAACGGTTTCTCTATTTATTCAATTGAGACTTTTGAAAAGTTTGATGGACTTTTTTTAAATGATAATTTCTGTGGATTTTTTGGAGATTTGTATTGAATTATAGGAAGTTTTTTTAAAACTTCTGTAAATTTTCATTTTAAAACTTTTAAAAACTTTTGTAAAATTTAAAAGACTTTTATTTGAAATAGAATTCACGTGCATTTAGTAAAATGTCGTGAAATTATCACATACGAGGAGGTGGTTCTCACAATTCCCCTGCACCTTCCCCACCCCATACAGGGTAGAATGGAGAATGAAAAATATAGTTGTTATTGGATCCCACACAAAAAATGAAAATTCAAAATTGATGGCTTGATGTGATAAATAACGATCATATTTTTCATTTTTATGGATGAAAAATGAGAAACAAATGGAGGCATAATAAAAAATATTTTTTAAAAAATAAAAATTTAAGACCTTAATTAAATAAATAATAATACATACAAAAAATAAATTTAGCTCCCGTTTGGTGCACCTTTTTAGAAAAAAAAAGCATTTTTACTGTTGATGTGATGGGGAATATGTGGTTGAAAAAGAAAGAAAAGTTATTAATGCGATAGAAAATATTATTTTATTAAAGAATGTGTGGTTAAAAATGAGTAGAAGAATGAGAATGAAAAAAAATAATGTGGCTCAAACGGGGGCATATTCAATATTATTAATATAATGTACATTTAAAGAATAAATAAAATATATATATTTAAATTTAATTATAAATTAGTCCATATAAAATTTTATAATTTAATTAAAAATAAATATTTTTCACAAAAAATAAACGAAAAAAGAGAAAAAAGTTATAAGAATACAATTTAATTTTTTTCATAGAAAATAAAAATAAACAATAAGAGAGAGATAGAAAAAATAAATTTTAATCACAATTCTAATATTCATAGAGGAGAAAAGAAAAAAGAAATATTGAAGCTTAAATGATTAAAATCAATCCGAACCAAACAGGGGCTAAAAGTATGAATTGACGCTTAAATTTTCTAAACCATCGTTGTCATCTAAAATCAAAGATCTAGCCTCTCTCTCTCTCTCTCTCTCTCTCTGTGCAGGGTCCTGTCTGAAGGCGGTCTTAGAAATCTCCGCCTTAGTTTTCTTGCCAATTGCCGGTAATTATCCGCCATTTCTGCTTCGTTTGATCCACACGCCTTATCGTGCAATCCCATTTCGGTTCAATTTTTCTGTTTCTTTGAAGTTTTTTGGGTCCAATTTTGACATTCTTCTTCCTCTCTTCATTCCATCTTTTTTTATCTTTCTAAGGATATCGGCTTTTCTTCTTGGTATCAAGATTTTATCTCTGTGTCTTTTTTTTACATTTAATTATATTCTTTTTTTTTCCTGGTTACATTGATTTTACTACTTGTGAGAGAGCCAGTGCTATTCTAAGATGATTTGCTTAATTTACCATGTTTATGCGTGTGTGTGATAATTTGTGATTTGATTTATTTATTTCTTATGCTGATGAATCTGAGAATTTATAGCGTGTTCAGTAAAAGATGATTTCTTTGTTTTGTTGTTGTTTCAATTGCTGCTATGGGGCTTCTTGGATTTAAAGATCAATTGATGCAAAATTAGGAAAATTGAAATTTGTAATGTATTGTACTCTTGGAAGTAAATTTTGCCGCTTTAATCTGTTTTTGATGGATGATTTTGATCCCTTGAGGTTATTTATGAAGTGACCTGAATTGTTTTTGTTCATTAGTTACAGCTGTATTTATTTGCCGAATGATTCGTCTTGTTTCTTGAATGCTACCTTATACAAAAGGAGACTGTTTTGCATGCGTACCTGATGTTTTTGTTGATACCTGGTTCAGGGTTTGAGATTCTTTAAGAACATTTTTCGGTAGAATTTATTGAAAATCATGGTTGTGGAGGTCCCTGAATCGAACTTGGCCGTTTCTGTGGAAACTGGAAATGACGAGGAGATTTCTGTGGAAAATGTAAAGATGAACATAAAATTTGGTTCTCATGTTGTGGATGAGCCTGCCAAAGAAGAAGGGAAAAAGGTATCGGAGGCCAACCTCCCAAATAATGTAGCTGATGAGTGGCCTGAACCCAGTCAAATCCACTCTTTCTATATTGTTAAGTATCGACCTTTTGAGGACCCGAATCTCAGGGCCAAACTGGATCTGGCAGAGAAAGATTTACAGAAAAAGAATCAGTCCCGATTTCAGATCACTGAAAAATTAAGGGAGAAAAGGGTAAATTATGCAGTACATTATATTTTTTGATAGTTCATGCTTATGCAACTGTGTCTCTTTAAAATAGAATCTGGCTAGTGGTTATTTGCTATGATTTGGGACAGGATCTACTCACACCCAAACTGTAAAGAACTATTAATATACCTCAACTGTTGAACAACATAGATGCACTGTGTTGCTCATTGAGCTGCCTGTATCAAGATCACTTAAATCGTGAAAATGCTAAAGAAAAATGAAAACGAAAGATATATTTTCTTGGAACTTTGACAAGATTATCATGCACTTATAATTTGACATGAAATCATGTCTTATAAAATGTGACATACACAAAGTTGTGCAGAAAGGGGTGTTTATTTGTTAAGTGTTTTTATTAGAAATTTATGAAAAATTATATTCAAATTTGTATCAACATGGTTAAAGGTCAGTAGGGTAGATTTGAAATCTGAATTTTGTTGCTGAGCTGACAAACAGAACTACACCGTTTCTTATCTTTGTGTCAAGAGGGGGTTGAGGCAGGTCTAAGACAAATAAAATGAGACAGATAAGAGTTTTTCAAGCCAATTATCTTCTTGTAGAAGTGAAAAACTGAAAATAACATTTACTTTTATTTTGTTATACACCAAAACAATTTGGCTTGTTATGTTTGCCAAAAAAAAAAACTCCATACAGTACCTTCATTGACCGTAAGGATCATGATGACATTGAAAATTTCCCTTGCCCTATATTAAGAAAAACAATTCAATGCAGAACTTTAACTTTTCAATGCCCAAGTCCGACTTGAAAACTTAAATATTAGATACGAGCAGGGTATTTAATGAACTTCATTTTGAAGTTGTCTAAAAAGGCAGTCCATGCGAAATAATCCCAAATGCTTGCAATTAGGGATATTTTAATATATTTAATTAAACTGCTCATTAAGCATGATAGAAGTATTGCTTAAATAATATGATGAAAATGTTCAGTCTTTTGTTTTTTTTTCCTTTTCGCCAAAAGGATATGTTATGGTGGAATGAAAAACCTATGAGCTATGCATGGATATAAAATAGTCTGCTTTTTATCCTTTCTTCTGTATCATTTTTGTTCTTATTTCTTTGCATGGCTGGTACTGATTTGGATTGGAAACCATTGGAATGGGAGAATGTCTAATCACACTTAAGTATGTCTTGCAGGCAGTTCGGGCCCAGGTAATTTCTGAAATAAGGTCTCTAAGTGTCGAGAACAAACAGTTTAGGACAATCATGGATGAGAAGAGAAAGGAAATGGAACCTCTGCAGCAGGCTCTTGGTAAATTGCGCGGTGCTCCTAATGGAGGCAGAGAAAGGGGCTCAGTATGTTCCTCTGAGGAAGAACTCAATGATCTTGTAAGCTTTTGTGCATGAGAGTGTTTAATTTTTTAAGTGCTCTCCATGTCTAATTATTACTTTCATATAACACTTCAATCTAATACGTCTCTCTTGCTGTTGAAATTAATTAGATCAAAAGTTTAGAATATCGCATTCAGCATGAAAGCATTCCTCTCACTGAAGAGAAGCAAATCCTCAGGGAAATTAAACAACTTGAAGGGACAAGGAACAAGGTTATTGCAAATTCTGCTGAGAGGGCAAGGATTCAGGATGCATTGGGTGAAAAAGAAGTGATTCAGGACCATGTCAAAGTAAGATGCCGTTTATATATAATTTCACAAAGTATGGTGCCTTTTGAAAAGCATTGCTCGCCGACTAGCATACATTAGCCAGTAGCCGTATTTGTATAACTGTCTGATTTCAGCTTATAGGTGTTGATCTTGATGGAGTTCGAAAGGAAAAACAAGTAGTCAATGCCAAGCTTAAGCAGCTTGATGAAGAAAAAGCATCTATAGATAAAGAGATCAATGCTTTACAGGAGGAACTGACTGCAATTACAGAGAAGAGAGACAAAACTTTGGAAACCATTCAGGAAATGAGGAAACAACGTGAACATGCGGTATGCTTCTTTTCATCTTTAATAATGATGATCCTGACTAACTCTACTAAACATGTTGTGTTTGACTAGTTAGAGCATCGTAGGATTCTTTAATATATAAAAAATCACAAAAAGAGGTATATTGCAGCCTTTTGTGGGGATTAAGAAGCACCGAAGTAATGTCTAAACCCAAAGTAAAACAAATATTAAGGATCTCAAAACAAGGAAACACCATTTAAATTGTCTCGATAGTCTCAGTAATTGGATCTGACTAAAGAATCCAAATAGAATTTTTGGCAAGACAAACGATGAGGTTTACAGACCAGTCAATAAATGAAACTGATTAAAGAGTTTTTCCTTTAAGCTATTTGAGAGTTATCCAGCTTGAGTTATGAGCACGAATGGCGACTTTTGTATTTTCAGGAGGGATGAAGAAAAAAAGACTTAAATCATAGTCTAATTGATTCTCTAGGCCCATTTATCATTTACTAGAATTCCATACATAGATAGAACTTTGAATGAAATCATTTTTCCTTTACCCATATGCGGAGAAAACTTCCTATATGTTACTGGGAGGGGTGGGGGTATTGTTCGTCTACATCCATCATAATGAGCCGCGTGTAGAATTGTTTTAACTGATGTTCGATCCTGAAGATAAGGAAAAGATTTTTGAAAAGTTGGATTTTCCAATGAAGAATCAAAATTATTTAAATGTGCCTGCAATTCTATATTTCCTTGAAAAATGTGAACTTCCAGGAACTGTTCAGGATATTTCATAGAAGGAAATTATTTTAAAGAACTTTGGCCTAATCAAATGAAATTGAGTTAAAGAAACACCCCCAGGTGTTAAAATTTCTACTCTTTCTATAGTTTTGTTTTTTTTAAGTTCTATGAATGATCAGCACTTAGTTGTACACGAAGCAATTTTATTACAGTTTCTAGAGTATATGGCGAAATCTCCCGTCTTTTTACGACCTCCTTAACATCATTATAGAATTGGAATTGCTCAACAACTGGTCAGAATTAGATGATTGTCTTGCTTTACGTCTCTTTGTTTTATTATATTTATTTTCTGTGGTTCCTGACCCTTCGTTTAAATAAGACAAAAAGGGGTTATTCATCTGGATGGCGAACTATGGACCTGTCTATCCAGCCGCTGCAACCACATGGTGTTTTTCTTCAGAAAAAATTAAACAGAAAAAATATATTAAATAAACTGATGGATGTGGAGCAGTGGAGGTCCGGCTAGGCAAAAAGTGGACTGGATCTCTGCAAAGGCTGCCTCTCCCGTTGTACATTTCTAGATGATGCTCAGATTCAGGGACATTGTCATACATTTATGTGAAATCTGGGCTATGGATCTGCCATCACAAATTTTCAGTATAATACCGTGAATAACCAATCTATCATAACCGAATAAAATTCAAAAATCCCCGACAACAATAATTAGCAGTCCACTCCATGGAGCAAATACAGAAGCAATCTACTTAGGCAATATTAGTCATGTTCGGTAACATTCCAATTTCCATATATATATTTGTACCTTATGTTTCTCGGAAGAGTTGAAAATGGACCGGTTTAAGAATGTCTACGCCCAGCAATTCCAGTGCCGAGTTGCTTTCTCATGGATTGATAGCTTCAGTTTGTCAATATTCACGGTCTCTTATGTGTTCTAACTTTAATTTTTTGTTTTTGTCCTTAACTAAGGGAAAAAGGTCTACTTTATTCATCTGCCCCTCGTTTGGTTTGCACTGTGTTTTAAAATGTCATTGCAGGCCTTATTGTCAATTTCTAAGACTCACAGGAGTAGGAGAAAATGTGAAGATGAAATTTATGCAGTTTCAGTTAGCTAATTTTTTTTGTGTTCTTGAAAGGAATACCGTAAATTAAACGGCACTGCCTTACACTTGTTCCATGATTATGCTTTATTTTTCTGGATATCTGAAATATTTTTTTATCCTTGAGAAATTCAAGCCGCAAAATCTCTTATCGCCAAATGTAGAGTGAAAACATGGTTTGCATATTATGGTGTTCACAAATTAGTGTTTTGACTTGCAGAATTCTCACTACTTCCAAAACCGTAAACTTTTGATCAAAGCCAAAGAACTTGCAGCAAAGAAGGATGTTGAAGCCCTGAAAGAACTTTCACATACAGAGGTTTGACGTTTGATTTGCTGCCTTGAGTTTCAATTCGCCCCGGTAGTTACACTTAGTTGCCTAACAGTTGTCTCCTTCTTCCCACTACCAGGTCGAGAATTTCATTTCCCTCTGTAGTACTAATAAGGTATTCAGAGATGACTACAAGAGGAGAGTTTTGCCATCACTTGACATGAGGCAATTGAGTTCCGATGGTAGCATGAGGAATCCGGACGAGAAGCCACTTGTGGCAGTCGAGGCACCAACTCCATCTGGGACTGAGAGAATTGTGAAACCAAATGTGAAACAACCTGCTAAGGAGGATTCTGTTCCTCTATCACAACATGATAATTCGTCTGTGCAGAAAGCACAAAAAGAAAAGAATGCTCAAAACCAGAAAGATGCAAATAAGAAAACCGAAAGCATCTTGGACAAGATTGAACTTGAAGACAGAGATGTCTCTGCTGGGACACATAAATTGCAAAAGGACGATCTTCCTAAAGTTGACGAGATGAAGTTGAAGGAGATGAAGCGAGAGGAAGAGATTGCTAAGGCTAAGCAGGCAATGGAGAGAAAGAAGAAGTTAGCAGAGAAAGCTGCTGCCAAAGCAGCAATAAAAGCTCAGAAGGAAGCTGATAAAAAGCTCAAGGAAATTATTATTTTTTTTCAATTTTTACTTTTAGCCATTGTCTTATATAACCTTAAAACTCATTGTTTCGCTCTCAATTTATTGCAGGAGCGCGAAAAAAGAGAGAAAAAGAAGGCTGGTGCCGTTCTCTCTCAGGATTCCGAGGAACCAACTGAAGCAGTTGCTGAAGTTGCTGAACTAGAGAAGACGGAGGGAAAGGTTGAAACTCCGGTCCCACCAAAGAACAAGGGGTGGAAAGAAAATACCACTAAGCACAGAGCACGACCGAGAGGTCCAGATTCACTTCCAAAGGTTATACTCAAACGCAAGAAGGCAACTAACTACTGGCTATGGGCCGTCCCTGCTGTTTTGGTGGTTCTTGTACTTCTTGCATTTAGTTACAGCTATCTTAGCCAAGAGCCCAAGACATTAGAGTAGAGTAGAATGTTGGCGACTTGTATTAGTAAGCATGCTATAACTTCTGTTCTTTTGTGTCCTATAAAAAGGACTCGACTCGAAAACTCATAATGCTGATGGAACAGGTGGTTCTGAAGCAGCATTAGCTGCTGAGCAACCATGTTTTTGAGAACTGATATATTTTGAAATTTTGAATCTTGAGTAATGTCATTGAATTCTTTGTTTCTTCCAACTGATGGAATTGTAGTTTATATTTATTTACATTTTTGTTCAAATATATGTTTCTATGATTAAAAATTTAGCTAATTTTCAATTAAAATTCATAATTTGTTTCGTACTAAAAACTGAATATGTACATTTTATCTGGTTTGTGCAACTTAAAATAATTCATCAAATAACAAATGCCAATGCCAACAAAAATCAAAGAATTCATTCGACGTAGCTAAAATTCAGAATTTTAATAAAAAATAATGAAATGTTATGTTGAAAAGTCGATAAAAATTGTGGGTTTATAAAATGTGTGGTTAAAATTAATTATAGACTTTGACTTATGGCTTGTTTGCCATCACTTTTGAAAAGTCAAAATAAGTTTTTGAGATCAAAAAGCTTCTTTTGAGTTCGTTTGGTTAATTTTATGAAAATACTTCTTCTATTTAAAAGAATTTTTAGAGGAATCTGATCAAATATGGTTTATTTTAAAAGCACTCTTGAAATAAATATTTTTAGAAAATAGTTTTCAAATAAAAACTAATGTAATTTTTTTAAGGAATTTCTTGTGAAGAAGCCCAAAAAAAAAAAATCATGTCAAAAGAGCCTTTTGAAGTTAATACACCCATGCTTGGCCCGTTAATAGGTCCATTTCATCGGAGGTAAAATGGCCCTTATTAAAGCCTGGCCCATTTCATTGAAGAATAGATCTGTGTCCTCTTAACGGCTCCTAACAGAGTAAATTCAAATTCAAATTTTAGTCTCTTTCAATTCTCCTCCCAATTCTCCTCCGGTGGGGCAACGAATTTTCTCCGATGGCCAACACTACCACCACCGACGACTATCTCACAACTCCTACAAAAACACCAGCAGGTGAAAAATCCACATCCAGGAAGCGTCACTACCACCAATCCGTGGATCCATCAACGGCACGCTCCGCTTCCGAATTGAAGACCAGATTCGAGGCCTACAACCGGCTGCAGGCGGCTGCAGTTGCGTTCGGAGAAAAGCTCCCTATTCCGGAGATTGTAGCGATTGGCGGGCAGTCCGATGGCAAGAGCTCCCTCCTCGAAGCCCTCTTAGGGTTCCGTTTCAATGTCCGGGAAGTTGAAATGGGCACCCGACGCCCATTGATTCTTCAGATGGTCCATGATCCCACTGCTGCTGAACCTAGATGCCGCTTTCAGGTGATTTTGGTATTTTTTATTATTTTCTTTCTTTTAGTTTTTGAGTCATTGGGGTTTGACATTTTTTTTTTTTTTTTTTNTTTTTTTTTTTTTTTTTTTTGAGGTGTTTTGTCTAAAGTACTTTGGAAATTTCTACAGGAATTTAGGGTCACAAATTGTGAATTTGTATTGCTATTGTGAAATGTATGGAAAAATTAAAACTTGGAGAAAATATGAAACACTGCGAGGTTCGATTTTACTATATAGCATAAAATTTGGGTCATTTTCTAGATATCCAGGTTTTTTATTATTATGAAGTTTAAGAATGTGTGTTACTTTGAGACTTTCATGTGCAATTCAATCCTGAAAAGTCTGAATGTATTAATTTCGAAAAAAGAAAAGGCTAATACGTGACTACGAAAACAGGATGAGGATTCAGAAGAATATGGGAGTCCTATTGTATCATCCACTGCAATTGCTGATATGATAAAATCCCGCACTGAATCAGTGTTGAAGAAGACAAGATCTGCAGTTTCGTCCAAGCCCATTGTGATGAGAGCAGAATATGCACATTGTCCAAATCTCACCATTGTTGACACTCCTGGTTTCATTCTCAAGGTATTCAATAAAACAATGGATATTCTAATTAAGAAAGGTGAAATAAATTTTTTTTCCCCTGGGATGAAGTTATCATGTTTGAAATTATGATGGCAGTCAAAGAAAGGTGAACCTGAGAATACACCGGATGAAATTTTGTCAATGGTCAAGTCCTTAGCTAGTCCGCCACATCGCATTCTTTTGTTTCTCCAACAGAGTAGCGTTGAGTGGTGCTCATCATTGTGGTTGGACTCCATTCGTGAAATTGATCCGGCATTAAAACGGACAATCATTGTTGTCTCCAAATTTGATAACCGGCTCAAGGTTAGCATTTTATTGAGTGCTTTCGGTTATACGTATCAGTCATTTCCAGTCAAAAGTGTGAAATCATCACAGGCAACCATACGTCGGTAGCTTTCATATCAACATCTGCTACTTGCATGTGCGAGTGAATCTAAATTTTTTGGATGCTGTATCGTTGAATCGCTCTGTTGTGGAGTATTTCCTGATAAACTCGTCAATCCTTCTACCAAGAACTAGTTATCAAATGGTAAAAAACTCAGGCAAATATTTGCTGTCATAGATGAGATGAGTTCTGTTATTATGTCCTTAAAGCTTAATCACTTTTTGATCATCCACTTCTTCGGTCTATCTTGAAGAATCTGTTACTTCAAGGTTTACTGTCATTATATTTTTGTTAATATTTCAGGAGTTCAATGACCGTTGGGAAGTGGATCGCTATTTTGGTGCAAGTGGATACCTTGGAGAGAACACACAGCCGTTTTTTGTGGCCCTGCCAAAAGACAGGAGCACAGTTCCCAATGAAGAGTTCCGTAGGCAAATATCTCAGGTAGATGCAGAAGTATTACACTATCTGCGTGACAGTGTCAAAGGGGGGTTTAATGAGGAGAAGTACAAATCCTACGTTGGTTTTGGTTGCCTCAGAGATTATTTGGAATCTGAGCTTCAAAAGAAATACAAAGAAGCTGCTCCAGCCACACTATCCTTGCTGGAGCGGCGCTATTCTGAAGTCACAACTGATTTAGACAGAATAGAGACTAAAATACAGGCAACTTCCAACGTTGCTCATCTTCGGAGATCTGCCATGTTGCATGCTGCTTCTATTTGCAATCATCTGGTCTATATTTTATATTTGAAAAGCTCATATTTTTTCTTTTGAGTTATGCTCTTTTTGAATTTAAATTCTGGATTAGAAATTTAAATAGTGGTTGTTTTGTTATTGGTAAAGGGAGCAGTTCTTGATGGAGCTGCTGATCCTGCACCGGAGCAATGGGGGAAAACAACTGATGATGAAAAATCGGAGAGTGGCATAGGTGGTTGGCCAGGTGTTACAGAAGATGTAAAACCTCCAAATGCTACCCTTCGTCTTTATGGTGGTGCTGCATTTGAAAGGGTGGTGCATGAGTTTCGATGTGCTACATATTCCGTGGAATGCCCTGCTGTATCAAGGGAAAAGGTATTTTGAAAGTAAGTAAAACTAATATTTTGGTAGAAACGAGAAAATGTAATTTACTATATTTCTATGACAGGTAGCAAATATTTTACTTGCCCATGCTGGCCGAGGTGGGAATAGAGGAGTGGCAGAGGCTGCTGCAGAAATTGCACGTGCTGCAGCAAGATCATGGCTTGCTCCCCTTCTTGACACAGCATGTGATCGGCTGTCTTGTGTTTTAGGCAATCTTTTTGATATTGCTGTTGAGAGAGATCGACAGCATCCGTCTGTCGGTAAGACTCCATATCTCTTTTTAGTTAAAATCTCCTTCAATAAGAAAACTATAAAAAATTCTATTTTCGAATGCTATTTTAGTTTCCGTATGGTGATTTGTGGGGATCAGCATCGATAGCAATATGATCATTACTCAGTGCAGTCTTAAAACTTTTAAGGATAACAATGACTAGGTGAATAATTATTGTAGTTATACGTTTATACTGTGATTGGTTTTCATAGGTCGAAAAATTTAACTGGCTTCAGCCCTTAATTGATGTTTGCTGTTTAGTTTGCCTTTATATTATGTAACTGTGCAAAATTCGTGAATGAGCCATGAATGATTGAAGATCTCGAATTCTTTCATTATGTCAGGACCCACTGGCAAAGCCTCTACATTCCTTATTTGGGTCCATAAACCTACCAATTGCCTGAAGTGTTCTTCTGTATGCGTCCCAGTGATACACCCAAATTTCTAGATTTAAAATGCATTTTACATGAAAGTACGAGGATGTATTTGGAAAAAACAGAAATGAGCTAATGGATAAGATTCATTTTTATTTTTCAGGTGGTAAAAAATCTGGAGATATGGATGGCTATGTTGGTTTTCATGCTGCTTTGAGGCACTCCTACAATTGCTTCATAAATGATCTCGCGGAACAGTGCAAACAAGTAGTTAGGTACCATCTTGATTCAGTAACAAGCCCATATTCTCAGGTCTGCTATGAGGACTTCCAGGGGAGTTTTAATTCTGGTGTAAACTCAATTCATCTATTCAACCAAGCATCAGCTGGTTCATTTTGTCTTGAGCTGTCTGATGGGAGCCGGCCTGCATTGCGCAAGGAAATTATGAATGACCAAGAAAACATACCCCCGGAAAAAGATGAAACCACGCCAGGAAAAGTAGCTGAAGCTAGAGAAGCTCTTAAAGAATGCCAGATGACAGTGCCCGAGACCCCATCGCCTGATCAGCCATGTGATGCAAACTATCCGGTCAAAAAGGAACTTGGACATTGCATTGAAGTTGGAGCAAGAAAACGCCATTCTAGAATCACAGGCAATAACAGAAATTTGGATCATTTGAAGGGCCAACATGGTGGTAGCCTTTTATTTGGGACTGGGGATGCTCCTTCCAGATCAGGATCAACTTATTTGGAGATATGTTCATCAGCTGCACAGCATTTCGCACGAATTCGTGAAATTCTGGTTGAGCGGAGTGTGACATCAACTTTGAATTCGGGATTTCTAACTCCTTGGTAGGTTAATTCTTCTTTACTGTGGATCATCCTTGTGTATGTTGATGATTATTGCAGCTAAAATTCATGATGAATCATTGCAAATAGTTTAATGGTTCACGAAGAAAATGGCTGTGACTTAGTTGTTACGTACACAGTTTTATATGAACATGCCAAATAGTTTTTTCCTCGCGTGGTTTTTATTGTTTTTCTTGGTTGGGTTGTCCACAACTAACCCAGTAATCCATTAGCGTATTTTATATGCTGGTGATTTAATCAGAAGCAGCTTATTAAAGATCACCTTTCTAATTGTGCAGCCGTGAGCAGCTTATGGTGGCACTTGGATTGGATTTATTTGCTGTGAGTGATGAGAAATTCATGGAGATGTTTGTTTCACCTGGCACAATTGATGCACTTGAGAACGAAAGACTGTCCCTTCAGAGGCGTCAAAAAATACTGCATTCATGCTTGAACGAGTTCAAAAATGTTGCCAGATCTCTTTGACAGAAACATCTCATTTCACTTCTACAGAAACCTCTCGTTGATGGATTTGCATTCACCTTACAAGACAAGACGACACAAGAAGGAAATTCCTTCTTTTTCGCATTTGTAGAAACTCAAAGCTCTTCCGGGATATCAGTTTCTTTATGGTAGTGAGTGTCCTTTCACTAATGTAAGTGCCATTACTTATCATATGGCTTGTTTTTAGTAAAATCGACTAGTATAGAATGTAGCGTGTTCCTTTCTTAAACGGTGAACTAGTATTACCCGATAAATAGATGTTGTTTGAATGGTTGATAAAATGAAAAAAAAAAAGACTTCTAATAGTCCCCAAATTTTCACCTGTCATTCATTACCCACTTGGCAACTGCATTAGACCTAAACATAAATAATTTGCCTATTATTGGTAACCTATCTAAAAGAATGACAACTATAGAACTGAATTTATTTCATGTTGGCTCAAATTTTCTTGTGTTACTTAATTCAAATCACTTGAGTTTCTAACCATATTCATTCATGTTGCTCGCTCGCCCGACGTAATGCTCTTACCTTTAATATAGACTTGTCAATTCTCTTTCTCGATAAAGGATGAGATTGGATAGCTTCAATTTTAGAGAAATACACAATGTACATTGAATGAATGCACTTCAAGATGCTATTAACCATTAAGAATGGGAAAAACTACGTTTTTGAACGGAAGAAGCCGAAAGGGTTTTCGAGTGCTACAGTAATGAGTCGTAAGAAAGATGAGCAGAGCATTCTTTCCGCCAAGGAGGGCATGGTGAGAGATCTTTTTACTTCCAAAGTTCAATTAAATGGAAAATTAATAGGTTGAAATTAAGTCACAGATCAATGAATTTATTAATGTGATAGCCTCTTTAAAAATGAGAATAATTTGTATGTGTCAGTAATTTTACAATTTAATAGAGCATCTGGTGAGAGTTGGTAACTTCCTCATATGTTACTCCTAATAATATTAATTATTTAATTATTAATATATTTAATTGCAAAAAAATATGAGAAATATTAATAATCTATCTGACAGTATCAGCACGCCCAGTGATTCTCGTCCATGAATCTTGTCCATTGATAAATTAATTATAATTAATAAGTTTTAATTAATCATCACATTTTAAGTTGAAACATAGCCACTTTAGCTTATTTTAAAATATTATTTTAGTGCTGTACCAACACCATGTTTGGGGAAACTTCGAGGGATGTCACCTAACCTTAATATGTTTCGATTTTACCTAATTTAAGCTTTTGTCAACGAAAATTTTCTTCGGATGCTAAGAATGTGTTGCCAAATTCCACATTTTCGATTATGAGAATGAATCTTCTATCCTAGTTAGTGATATGTACGTAGGGATGACGACTGTGCGAATATGGGATTGATCAGTCATTCCCGTCCCCCGACCCAATCGGATATTTTTGTTACGTTATCTCATTCTCGTACTCAGTTAAAGTGGGGCGGGTCCCCTATCCCATTTATCGTCCATTTTTTTTTATGTTTTTAATTTCATTTTTTGTGTTTATTTTGTTATGTCTTTATCAATCAATTTTTTTTTTTTTAATTTGTTAAGAACAATTTATGTTATCTTTAAAAATGATGATATATATAAAAAACTTAGATCTAAAATTAACTTTAAACGAGTCGGGTAATAAGGCGGGGATCATGTATCCTATACTCGTCTCGTACCTTCTTTGGGGCAATGACCCCTGCCTGCCCCCACACCCTCTAATTAGGCGGTTAATCTCTGTTCCATTCGGGACAGGACCTGCAGGTAACAGGTTGAATAATTTTTTTTTGCCATCNTATTGAAAAATAATATAATCAAAATCAAAATCCAGCTCAAATGCTAAGAACGAAAATTTTTGATCCGGGCTCCACATTTCACGTCCGTTATTCTAATTGTCTCATCCCCTCTGTGGATAACTTGTCAACTATTTTATTTATTTATAATTTAAGATATATTTGATAACAAGTTGAAGATGGAAAATTGTAACCTTGTAATTAGGCTGTTTTTGGAATTAACTAATACTAGGGGACTTAGTGGTATTAATTAAGATAATAGACCAATTGGAGGGAGCAATAACGAAGTTAGGATTGTTTGAAAGTTCCAGACAAGCCGCCCAACATATTTAACTTTTCTATGTTTAAAAGATGGGAAAATTGCACTATTAGTCATTAATCTATTGTTCAAAGAACGAGTTGGTCTCTCTACTTTTAAAAATGAGTAACTAGGTTTATAACCTTTTATTAGAATTACATAATAAGTTCTCGCGAAAGAAAACTTTTCAAATTGTTGTTAAAATCCTATGTGGTCCTCATACGTCTAATTTTATAATGATATATTCGGATTTTTTTTAGCTCGGATTGATGCTTGGAAATTTAAAGTGATTCTAATGATTTAAGGGTAAATTTTATTCATGATAACTATACTTTTGATTTAGTTTAATCTGGTAATTGTACTTCAATTTTATTGAACGTATAACTATACTTTAATACTATTTTAATCAAATAATCACACTTTGATTTGATTTCAATCAAGAGTTACGCTTTAATTTAATTTCAATTAAGGTAACTTTGTTGAATTGCACTAACGATAATCAATGACGTTACAACCAACAAATGATGGTGATTAAAAATAACGGTTAGTTGTTAACTGAAATGAGTACAGTTTAATTGAAATAAATGGCGGACATCATTTATCGATTTTCCAAACATTCATGTGATGGAATTAGATATAATTACTTGATTGAATTCAACTTAATGTGTAGTTTTCTGATTTAACAAAATTAAAATACAATTACTCGATTGAAATAGAGTGAACATAGTTAACGAGAATAGAATTTATCCAATGATTTTACAAAGATTGGACCATTCTATCATCGAGGACTAATAACGAAATAAAGTATTGGGATCAACTTGTTACTAGACAATAGACTGTGGACCACTAGTGCAATTTTCCCTTAAAAAAGTGAAACGGTGTAGTATACCTAAAGACTATCCCAATTCTTCAAATTGTAATTTTGATTGGTTGTAGCGGCCAATTCAACTTTGACAATCAAGACGAATTTACGGTGAAAATTCATAACAATTTTCTTGTAATATATTTTATAGGCGTCGCATTGAACGTTTTTTTTTCTAATTATTAACATCTTATCACATTATTGAATCCTAGTTTTTGACTTCTTGGAACGATTTTGGCACGATTCTTTTGTTTCGTTGTTGGTGAGCTAGTTGGTTGTGTCATAACACGTGCTCGATGATTATTGATAGTGGATTTAGACATTCTATTTGAGTGGATCTCCTTACACAGAGTTGATCTTGATTTATTACATTCTGATCTGTACTTTTTCTCAATCAGTTAGATGATTCTTTGGTATATAGAAGCTCCCACAATCCATATTTATTATCATGCTAATGAATAATGAGAGATTCGAACAAGAAGCATTTAGGACATTCGATTCCCCACTTTTTTAATATCCAATTAGATGGGAATTCGATTCTTCTTTTTCTCTTTTTCTCAAACCACTATTTAGGTATAATATATTTATATTTAAGTAAATAAGAATATAGATTTGGGAGAACATCGATCGTGTGACACTTATTACTGAAAGTATAACGTTAAAAAATCAGAGAAATGATAGTTACAAATTAGAGGAAGATAGTGAAATCTCGTGTGCCTTTTTCATGGTTCATGTCTTGTCATAAATTTTGTTGATTAATCATGATCGTCAATTTCGAAATTAGCAAAGAAAAAATTATATTATAATAATAATAATAAGTTACATAATTAATGTATCACGTCTTCGTAAAGCGACGAATTCGAGAACCACCTGATGAAATGTTGACATCTCCAATCCCAATCACACCCACAGTCTTCTTTGGCAGTGAAGGGGCAGCCGCAAGGCTCTGAAGTCAATGTTCAAATGTATTCATCCCCACCCCACCCTGTCTGTCTACTTGCTCATGCCCGAAAGTTCCCAACCCCACCATTGCATTTGCCTCTCTCTCTCTCTCTCTCTCTCAATTTCTACAAATTCTTTTATTTTTATATTATGCCCCCACATGGGCTCTATTTTAAAAATATATATATTTTTTGGAATAATAAAAAGTTAGAGAATATGCGATTGAAAAATATGAAAAAAAAAATTAGTTTGCGTGTAAAATTATTTGATTGGAGAATGTGTAGTTGAAAATGAGTATTGAAAAAATAAATTTTGACACTAATGTGGCTCAAACAAGGGTTCGAATCCTAAAATATGGATTTAGTCATGGGTAAGTGCAAGTGTACAAGCAGTCTTCCACCATGTACTCTTGGAGACATAACATGCGATTTACTTCCTTCACCAAAGCTAAGAGCAGGGCAGGTGGGGGTCGTCAAGGATGCGGCTCATCCTTTATATTCCTATATATAAGATGTCATATCAATTAATGTCACTTAATTATTATACGAATTAATATTTGTCGTCAATCTTGACGAATAACATTATTCTGTATAAATTGTCTATCGCCGAAGAGAAATGTTATTCATGATGAACTATCTATTTGAAAGTAAACCTTATTCAATAAGGTTAGGATATGATCGTTGTTTTTCATCGTTGCAGATGAATAATATTGTGCGTTGCTAAACACTCGTCGGGTGTTCAAAAAGCTAAATAACAAAGATTATTTTGCTCGATCAATATAAGAGTGAACAGTGTAATAAATAAGTTTCGACGATAGAGAGAAAGAGAGAGCGGGAGAGAGAACAAGAAGTTGTCTAGTGAGAGAAAGTGAGGCTAAAAGATGTAATAAAAACAAAAGCAAAACAAGAATCCCAATTCTAACCAAAAGCCTTGTTTTTCACTCATCCATCTCTTCATCTCCACCCAAATCAACCATAAACTTTTCTTCACTCTCTCTCTCTCTCTCTCTCTCTCTCAATCTTCTTCACACATAGATTAGGTGAAAATTTGCAGGTTTTTTTTTCCTTAAATGGAAATCATGTCAAGGCCTCAAGAAAGAGAGAATAATCATTCTCCTACAACTTCACCTAACAGCAATGGCAGCAGTAGCAACAGCAACGGATCACTGCAAGTCCCTACCCCACCCCTCACCCCTAATCCTACCAACAGATCTGAGACTAATCCTTACCCTACAACTTTTGTCCAAGCTGACACCTCCACCTTCAAACAGGTGGTGCAAATGCTCACTGGATCCTCTGAAACAGCCCAAAAAGCCTCCAAATCCGATCCACCACCGCCTCCTTCCGCCGCAAAAGGAGGCGGCACGAGGATACCACCCATCAAGAGCACTGGTCAGAAGAAACAGGGATTTAAGCTTTATGAACGAAGGAATAGTCTCAAGAATGGTCTTATGATCAACACTTTGATACCTAGTCTAGCTCAGAATTCCAACTTTTCGCCACGAGAGGCTGAGATCTTGTCACCGAGTATTCTTGATTTTCATTCGCTGGTTCTTGGCCCGGTGACTCCTTTGAATGCAGACACGCTGAGCAAATCATCATCTTCAATGGGGAATGCTTCTGAAGAGGAGAAAGCAATTGCTGAAAAGAAATTTTATTTGCATCCATCTCCTACAACATCAACACCTAGAGATTCTCAGCCGCAACTTCTGCCACTTTTTCCGGTGACTTCTCCCCGTGTTTCGGGCTCTTCTTCTTGAAGCCATCGCCATAGCCTTAATTTGTGATGTAACTGAAACTAGTCCTTAGGTCAAGGAATTCGTGTTAATTTGATCTTTTCTTCAAACAGAAAAACGAAAAAGCTTGCTTCTTTTTCCCTTGTTTCTCACTTCGTGTTTACATCAAAAGTTGGATTTTTTTTCAAGTTAAAGTAAAAAAAGAAAAATTCATTACTTTTTTCAGAAGAAAAAGGGATGAAATTTTCTTGATACTTCAACAAGAAGAATGAACAGTTCATTCATGAATCAAATTCGTATTCTATGAAGATTCTATGAGTTTATATGCTTCCTAATCTTTATATCAGTGGAGAATAAATGCACTAAAAAACTGGGAAAAACCCATAATCACTGTGTTCGTATCAGCATATATGCACTTAAAACATAGGAAAAAGGTACAAATCCTAATGGTTACTTTTTTTCTTTTTCATTTTTTTTGGACCAAATTCATTTTCATTACCAGATCATTAATTTATAGTTTGTTTGAATAAAATTATTAGTAACTTTTAAGGAAGAGCAATGGTAGTGGTAGGTCTCAATAAATGTGTTGATAAATAGTAGTTGAGAATAAGTTTAGCCAAACGTACCTATAGTAATGTTGTATTCATGTCTTTGTTTGTCTATGTTTTAAAGAGAGAGAGAGAGAGGTGTATAAAGCTAAGTCTTAAGTTCCCACGTTATATGTTGTACATAATGTTAGACGACAATGCGCAACAGTTATTTTTGTCACGTGCATAATGAACTCCCCCATCCATGCAACGCAACAAAATTGCTAGGCATATGGTTTATGGCCTAAATTATCGAAAGTGGACTAACGATATCAACATATATAGATATGGTTGCAAGTTTCCTACCTAGAATTTATTGTGTGTTTGCTTAGTTTAAGCTCGTTGAACCGTGTGAGGGGAGGCTGCCAGGGACCGTACGGACGGTCCATTTCACGTTTTTTCATTTACCTACCCAAGAAGTGTATTTTTCAAGATGGGACTACTCATTGTAGTAGTGGAACTCTGCTTGAGCAGTGATGATTGATTGGGTTGACATAGGATCCAAGATAAGCTTTTGAAAATTTTCAATTTCCTCACCCCCAATGAGTGTTACACCCACTATTCCAATGATTTAATGTTAGACCAATTCATCTCATAATTATAAGTACAAATTTGACTTGTAATAAAAGCTGTATTTTGCTTTTTATTTTTGAAAATAAGTTGAAGCACTCAATCAATGTGGTGTAGTTTGACTTGAAATGGAAACTCAAGAACAATAATTAATGGTTCGTTTGATAGGCAAATGTGGAAAGAAATTTCGATTCCATGTTAATTGGAAAATAAAAATTTACCAAACTCATAAGAATTCGTTTTTCATAAAAAACAAAGAAAATATAGTTTAAAGTGGTTGCACTTTAAAATTCAATTTTCATTTCCACGTTACAATCAAACTGCCAAAGTAGAATTCGTTTTCCTCATATATGACATTTTTCATGAAATTTGTTACAATCAAACATGACCTAAATGTCAAACAGTATGACAAAGCATAGAAAAAGTATTTGTTTTGGCCATGTTCAACTAACTCAAATTACAAATGATCTTTCAAAATTTCCAAATGATTTTTCAAAATTTCTTCACCATTCAATTGGTAGATTGTTCTTGCAGAAAGAGTTTATTTAAATAATGAAAAACGTGCACATTTTCTTGGAACGATCATGGAGCAGATAAATGAAAATTCCTATCATTGATCTGCTTATCGTCGAAGATATCTGATCATTCAATATCAACTTACTAGGGTTAATTTATGTCACAACACTTTAGTTGTTTTCAAGTAGATTCTTATCTATCATTTATCCTACACAGAGTTTACGGATCTAAGATATGTTTTGAAGTTATTTGGTTGCTTCTAAATCTACACGGAGTACGGTAAAATTCCTGGATACGGTCATTCAAGAAATCCCTCCCGGGACGACACTTAAAACCTGTGGGGGTAAGGGCAAATATAGCCAAGTGGATCAAGGTAGTCGATTGTTATGTCCTATATGTATCAAAAAACATTCTTTTAGCCAAGCGTATAAAATAAAATAGAGTGAAGTATATTGACCTCATTTATGCAAATCAAAGTTCAATGACCAATTTTTGTGATTACAAATGATCTTTCAAAATTTCCAAATGATTTTTCAAAATTTCTTCACCATTCAGTCGGTAGATTGTTCTTGCAGAAGGAGTTTATTTAAAGAATGAAAAACGTGCGCATTTCCTTGGAACGATCGTGGAGCAGATAAATGAAAATTCCTATCATTGATCTGTTTATCGTCGAAGATATCTGATCATTCAATATCGACTTACAAGGGTTAATTTATGTCACAACACTTTAGTAGTTTTGAAGTAGATTCTTATCTATCATTTATCCTACGCAGAGGTTACGAATCTAAGATATGTTTTGAAGTTATTTGGTTACTTCTAAATCTGCACGGAGTACAGTAAAATTCCTGAATACGGTCATTCAAAAAATCCCTCCCGAAACGACACTTAAAACCTGTGTGGGGTTAAGGGCAAATATAGCCAAGTGGATCGAGGTAGTGGATTGTTATGTCCTATATGTTTCAAAAAATATTCTTTTTGCTAAGCATATATAATAAAATAGAGTGAAGTATATTGACCTCATTTATGCAAATCAAAGTTCAATGACCAATTTGCAGTTGAAGTAAAAGTTAAGTGACTGCCAATACAAATTAATCCCCACATGGCTGATATATAAAAGTTGAATCAAGAAATTCAATGCTGATGCTGCCTGTTCACAAACCAACTTGGGGTTGGAGGGTTAATATCAGAAAGCAACATTTAACATTATTACACAAGATTTCGCTGTAATATATCGCAATACGAACAAACAAGAAAACCCAAGCGCAAAAACCAGAAAGTTATCAGTAGTTTGCCTGAAAACAACCTGATGTACTATATATCATCATGGGATCATGGGTTTACGAAATGTAAATGAGTTTACAGGAAACTAAATCCATTCTTAAATTTCCGAAAATGACTTGACTGTCTTGAACCCGTGATTCTCGGGAAGAGGTCCATTTCCAGGACGGATAGAAATGATCACTTCCAGACCTGAAATATAAGAGCAAAAGATGAATTTACAACGAATCTTGGTAAAATCTGCTTCTAACTGAACTGTAGAAAAATTGTTTGCTTCTTACATCAATAGATTAGAGCATGATTGGAAGGTGATTACACTCTAATCACTTCTGGTTAAATATACTTTTTATCCATATATTTTGTAGGATCCACAATTACTACCCACTTAATTCATAAAAGTTTTGCAAAAGAGAATTTGAAAGCAGCACACTACCTGCCGATTTTGCAGCTGTGGCTTCTTGATAGACGTCGGTGACAAATAGAATCTCCGAAGGATTATATACTCCAAGAGATTCCGTGATTTCAACGTAACTTTCTGATTCTTTCTTATTCCTGAAGGCAACAGAGAAGTTTTAGCCTACTTCAGTAATATAGAACAGATTTTCGGACAACGATAAAGAAACAATTTCAAGCTTCAAGTATTTCCATGAAAGTATAAAGTTTACCCCACTGTAGTATCAAAGAACCCGCATAAGTATTTTCGCAGGTCCCCATAATTTGTATTACCAAACAAAAGCCTTTGTGCCAATCTGCTGCCACTGGAATATATATACACCTGATGGGGGCAAAGAGACAAATGGTTAAATGAACAAAGATTATAAGTTCTTTTGGCATCTCTTTTCGAGCAATTTCGTGCACAATAATTAAATGGAGAAACGAACACTTTGGGAAGGCTTCCTGTATTAAAAACAAAGCTAGACCTAATGATATACTTATCGACCGTCTGGTGCAGCTTCTTCAAATAATGAATTGTTAGATTGCTCATTTTTCTGATTATTTGGGCCATAGTCAGTGGGCAGGTCGTAGGACACCTTTCAGTTATAGATTATTGAAGATAGAATCATCCCATTCTGCTCAGAAAAATGCAAGACAGAGATTATGGTATTTCAAAACTATTCCAACACTAATGACAATCAATGTGATCTAATTACTTGACAACTCTAATACTATTAAACTGCAAAATACAGGGTTTAGTATAAATTCTTATTCTTTATTTACTATATTAAGGATTTTAGGGGTCGCAAGGAGCAGCCCGCGGAACTTGAATACAAATGTTGTGAAAATATTTTTGTTTAGTGGTACAGTCCACAAACTCGATTAACCAATGTAAAAGGTGATTGTTCCAAGGACCATCATTAACTATCAACTTGATGTGTAACTTTTTTGCTGATAATAGGCGAGTATTAGAAGGAGCATTCATAGCTATCCAAAAATATTGTCATAAAGAAGATATAGGAATTCCTAGTAAAACAAGAACACATGCTTTCTACATGTCAATATTTATGCTGGAAAAACACTCCATATGGCAGTGAGGCTTCAACCACTAACACAAATTTCATCAAGGAAACTCGGAAAAGCAGAGAATAGCAAAGATAGTCATCAAATAACAATAAAAACCAAGAGCAAATATCCTATACTGTTTGTCATGTAATATTTTGCTATTTTGGTTCATTTTCTACGATACTGATGGAGCTACAGTTTCCAAAAAGAAATTTACAGGCTGTATAAACAAGTTGGAAGCGAGAATAACCTTGATTCCCAGGGCATGCCACTTTTCCAGAACTTCAGGTACATCATCAAACAAGACTGACTCTATCTCATTTCTCTGAAATCCTGTACGCCATATGTGACCCTGCACAAGAGGAAGTTAAAATTAAGAGTTTACAAAGGTTAAATGCCATTCTTCTGGAACTTTCCCATAATGAAAGAGAAACCGTTTGTTTCAACAATGATCTGGCTTACTTGTAATTGCTTCAAGGACGTAATTTTGCGGTCAGCTTTAATCATTGCCTCCACATTAGCAACCAAAGCTGCAATCACCTCCTCTTTCCCTCCATCAGAAGGGATGGGAACTGCACCAGCAACACCATTTTCTAGATCTTCTTGAACCTGGAAGAGGAAAATCCATAAGAAATGCAATCCTTGACCATCCAACAAGAGGAATTGCTTGATGAATAATAAATTTTGACAGATTTCTTTTTCTTGCACATATTTTACTGAGCTTGGAAAAGAAGCTACAGAAAAATGCATTAAGAGTAGATCACATTTCAAAACCCCCAGTGCTAAATAAAAAAGGATAACACACAAAAGACACTGACCTCTGAAATAGTTAGTGTCTTTCAAAGTGAACCAATTTTAGTGATTCAACAGAAAAGAGGCAATATAGACCCTCATTCCAATTCATAGTCAGCCAAGGTTTAATATATTTAATGTTTTCTCAGGGACCAGAAATTGAATTCACTTGTATTTATCACAAATTCCTCACATGCTAATTGCCAAATAGGCATGCAAAATTACAATTTAGAGTAAAATAATAAATAAGAACTTTTTTCTTAGCATGTTTAAGAGATAGAAGAGGCACAATCTTTTCAGAATCTATATCCAAAAAGGGTATCCTAAATGGTTTACTTGAGCTTTCAGTAGCTTAATATCATCTTGAGTTTCTGCCTCATCATATGTCAGTTCTAGATGCCTCCCCACATTCTCACGAGCATATGGAAAGAGAATCTCTGTGACAAACGATATAGGAGTGGTGGTTCCTTCAATGTCCAGTACAATGCAGCGCTGCAACAAAAAGATTTACGTGACAAAATTAAAATACACAATAAGGCTGAACCCAGATATTTCTAGCACGATCAAGATTAGCGTGAAACTTACTCTTGATGGCTCGATGCCATTATTTGAAGAAATAATCCCTGCCTTGGTAGAAACTTTTCCATTCCGACCTATAACTCCATCGGAACTATGAATTGGACCATGAGAAGGAGTTGAACAGTTTAATCCTAATTGATGGAGTTTAATTGCAGCATCAAAGAGATAGTGGTAACATTCAGCCTGGAAGAATAATTTGTCAATTGAAATGATAATGTTGTTTCTATCTTTTAAGAGTTAGTTTCGTGATTTACTCTCTCTCTCTCTAATTTATCTCTTTGTAATTAGTTAGAGATTATTATGTATAAATTGATGTGGAAGGCATCCTAATAAGATCATCAGAGAAATCATTTTTTCCTTGAAAGTTTTCATGGTATCAGAGATTTAGACAATTTTTTGGAATTTCAAGCCTTCATAGCTTTTCACAAATATACAATAACTTATCCCTTCCAACAGAGAGAAGTCTGAAAAGTTTCGATGATTTTTAGTTTTGGAAAGAAGGAATGATCTCAAGAGTGCAACTCATTCAATCACCGGAGAGAAGACAAGAATTCAATATTCTTAGAAAAATCTAGGATATATAGCCCGTGTTGGTCCAAATTTTAATCTACGTCAAAGTCAATAATTAATTTAACCACACATTTCATGGGACCCACAACTTTTTCACTACACATTTCATCGACTTTTATCAAAATCTACTAAAAATCTTATTTGAATCCCCACCAAACAGGAGCATAATATAAGTTTTCATGTACCTGAGTTTTAGCACTGATCCAAGAATCACCCCATACGTATATTCCATGGTTCCGGACAAGCACAGCCGTAGTTTTGGGGTATGCTTTGATCTGCAAAACAAGGATTAAAAATTATTCTGTGGAAAAATGTCATTACTGGACATGGAAACGTGGCCTCCAAAAGTCTTTAATGACCGTATGGTGAAAATCTTTTTGGTCAATCATTCTCCTCCATTTCTTTTGCAATCATCACATTCTGCCCGCTTTCCATTTTTCTGGGTTTTTTATTTTTTATTTGCATGTAATCCTTCATTCTCTCAAGCGAACAGCCACTAACACACTGCATCAAGGATCTCATCTTTAAACTTCGCTCCAAGTCTCATATTGGTGGAAACCAGCATTTTTCTTTTAATTGTTAACAATTGTCCTTTTCAATGTGTTACGTCTCCCTGATAATGTTTTTTAACAATGTAAATACTACTGGCATTCAAGGCAAGAAACAGATGCATCAAAATTAGGAAAAAAATCATATACTTGAAAATGTAAAAAAATAAAACTGGCAAATGCATATATATGTTACCACATTTTTCTATGGCCAGTTGAGTGGAGGCAAAAGTAATAAAAATACTGAGACCACCACTGGAACCAATTGTAGAAGATTTTCGTGGCAAGGATATAATAAGTTATTCCTCAATAAAATGTTAGGCCTTGCTGATCATTGCACCAAGAAAAAGTTCAAATAACCACTAAATTACCGGCATTAACACTTCAGCAACATCTTGTAGAGTATTTGAAAGTGATGGTACAGATCCACAAACAATAACAAGCTTGGTAAAAAGGGGAGAATGCATGCATCAAAAGAGTTGCAACAAATCCAATATGTCTGACCCCTATGAATAAATTGTTGGGAAGCCTATGCATTCATATATTCATTTGAAGTGTAAGGGTGCTGATATATGTCAAAATTTTGCTCAGATATGGATTTATGCATTAGTATGGGGTTGTTGAAATGTAGATCCCACAGCCGTCAGCTTTCCATCTTATCCACAATTCAATGTAAAAATTCTTACTGTTACTCAGAAAATATTAAGTCCGCATGGCAACATGCAACCATGTGCACTCTTGAGCAAACACTCACATTTAGGCATGTGTATAAAAGAGAGAGAAAAAACCATACTGCTTCGGTGAGAGATTCTGTAAGCTCTCTTTCATGGGCAGTATTCTCTATAATTGGGATCACGAGCTCATCGTAATAACCATGCCCTTGAATTCCTTTGATCATTTCCATATGAGTAATCTGTAAATTGAGTAAAGTAGCACCACAAGAAAGCTAAGGAGATATTACCATAAAATGTAAAAAGTTAGACAAAACTTTTACGTCACAACTAAACAAGTCAATTTTGCTATCAAAAATGTTACTAGGGGCAGAGGAGTAAGGATCTGGGAGATAGGGTGATGTTTTTCCTTTACAATACTCAGACCTTGACAAGTGCATGGTGAAAAAAAAAATTCTAAATACAAAATTTCAAATTAAAATCCATAATTGGATCACATGCACCACTGCACTAATTTCTCTACTTCTAGAACAAACTTCATAAACTTTCTTCAGTACGGAAACATTTAGTATAGTGTGAGCTCTATGAACAAGCTTCAGTCCTATCCTGTTGCTCTCTTGAATATGAAATCCCTCTTAATGTTTACTTCTCTGATAAATCTCTTTAAATATGACCCAACTCAGCCACTAGAAACCAGTGAAAAATGTTATACAATGAATAAATAAAACAAGTAGAGGAACAGCATCAACACGTTCTACTATGATATTCTTAAATTACTTCATTTCTCCACAAACATATCATCTGTGTTTATAATCATCCAAAACTAGTTTCAAATACACCCGAAATAGAAACAAAAAGAAAACATGGCCATTTCTATACTAATAATTAAATAACCTCGAAGGAGGTGTGAAGGGTCATGTAAGAGGACTGTGGAATTGGACATTATCCTCACCGTCTATAGAAAAGACAAGTTAACATATGTACCCGAAATTCTTTTGACAATGGGTTGATCATCGTTACAAGGCAAGATTCCATTCCATGACTGTGGATTACGGCACCGGCATTCCGCATCTCATATGCCTGCAAAACAGGATGAGCATTACTCTTAACACAATTTTATTTTAAAAAATAATAATAATAAATGGAAAATTAAGATCCTCGTGCACAAACTCTTCCGCTGAAGTCCTATCACACAGGGATTTCATTTTCACCGGTAACCATCAGTTTTCCAGAATAAATAGCTCAAAATAGTTCTAATCCTATTTATCCAAGTACCTGAACAATAAACCCTCTACACTAGTCAAACTTCATACTTCTTAATACGACAAATACTTATAGTAGTCGCCAATTTAGAGAAGCTCTTAATTTTACATCAATATTATTTGGCATTATAAACGGAAGCAGCAGAACTTAAATACACAATCCAAGTATCAAACTTATAGCCAATTTCAGCATGATCAAACCCCAAAATTTAGAGGCAACCAAAAGACCTGGCGCTGAATACATGTAAAATATACCTTCATGAACAGGGGAGCGCAATCAGAACATTTGGGAGGTTTATGAGGCCATGGCTTTGCCAATGGTTCAGACAAAACAGATCCATTTGGTGACAACACATACATATCTTCATCCACCATTCTTTCCTTCTGCACACCTACAAAACACCCACAAAACCCAGTTTTCATTTACAAAATCCGGAAGGAAAAAAAATTAGCAGATTGACCAATAAAACACACTAAGTATGTAAGCATATACACACAAATAACATGTACCTGAGGGAGACATGACAATAAGTTGTTGGGGTTTAGGAATTGAGTCGTCATGGACTTTGATGGTGATGCTGCCACCAGTCCCAGAAACCCAACCCAGGTGGTAGAACTGGCGGCACAGCTCTGAAATAAGGGTTTTTGTTTCTTTCACTTTATGGCCCTCTAAATATGCCTGTGGTGGTGTGTCCATTTGCACAACTCCGTTTACGGCTGGTGGGGCTGCTGAAGCTGCAGCCATGGTGTATGTATAGATGTATATATCTGTGCGTGTTTTACTGGCGTGGACAGGGAATTGATTCTTTTCTGGCTTCAATGTAGAAATTGATTGCGATTGCTCAACGGCGAGTCAAGATTGAATTTTTATTGGGCCATTTGGGATTAATTGTGTGTTTAGACTATAGTGTGCCAAATCTGAGTTCTTGAAAGCTTTATCATTTTCACACATTTACTTCTTAATTACGATTTTATTTTATTTTATTTTATTGAAAATTACGTGGTTTTTCTTTTTTTTCAACTTCTCGTATTTTTAAAGAGAAATGTTATTCATCCTCACTGGGGATGCATCCCCAGTCTATGTGACGTTAATGTGACATTAAATGATAGGTGAAATTAAATAAGTCATTTAATTTCACCTATCATTTAACCAATCATTTACATCCACATAGACTGGAGATACATCCCCAGTGGGGATGAATATCATTTTTCATTTTTNCAAAGGCCCTGTTTGACCTCAATTTTCTAGAAAAATAGATTTTGAAATAGTAATTTTGAGAGAATGTATAATTAAAAAATAATAAAAAATTTTAAATTTACGTGTAAAATTATTTGATGAAAAAATATACGATTGAAAATTAATTTTGATATAAACGGAAGTCAAACATTAGGCATAGGTCGACAAGGCAATTACCTTCTCCCTCGTTGAATGGCTGGGGAGGGCACCAATCATGAATACATTTCTATTAGAGCCCCATTTTTATTTTTTTTTTATTTTTGTATAAAATACATTTTGGAATAGAAAAATATTACCCCATTAGATTTGGCACCAGCCAAATATCACACTCCAAATCATCCCATACATGCATTCATGCAAACTTTTTCTCTCTTAATAAGGTCTAGCACATCTGGTGGCCTTTGGTGCAACAACGGCAGTAGGGATTGGCTTCGACGGTTACACGGGATATTATTCTTCCTGAGGGTGGCGTAGCTAATGTACCTTGAATTATATAATAGACGACGAGCAGTTTCAGATTCCATCATCAGTTCCTCTACATTGATGTCCATCGAGTCATGACCATCCTCAGGATGAGAGCACCGTACAACAAGTCATGGTGTCGGAGGATTATGCCGCCCTGACCACGGCGGAGACTACGGATGAGAGGAACATGAAAACAAGTCCAGTGTGGGAAGCCATCGACATCACACCAAATGATTGAAAAAATATCGAGAAAAATTATTAATTTTCATGGAGGTTTTGAATGGTGAAATATGGGGGTGAATTTGTGCGAATTTTTTTGGGGCCCTTTTTTTTCTCCTTGTTTTTATCGCTCCCGTTAAAGAACTAGAACCAAATCTTAGAACTTAATACTTTTAAGTTCTTCCTTTTTAATTTTTGGTCGCGTAGTTTTGTCTAAGTGATCAATATTTACTTTTATTCGTCTAGGATGGTGATCCATTCATAGCCATTCTTCTAGTTTTACTTGTGGGAAGCTTAGTTGAAATTTTGATGTCGTCGTTCGTGGAAAATTTAATCGAAAGTGTTAGTTGTGAATCTATTGAAAAGGAGGGCCCACAAGCTTATGGGAGTCTAACGTAAGAATAAAGATTTTTGGATACCTTGTGCATCTGAGCAACATGTAGAAGGTGGTTTTATGGCATTAAGGGGAGTTGGTGCTTAAGAATCCGATCCAACAATTAATTGAAACTAATTCAAAAAGAGATTGAATATAGATGTGTGTGTACAAATGAAGAAGTTATTTCATTGCCTGCAATGACGACGATGATTGTGAGTGAGATCAAAGCACAGACATCACATTTGTATCCGAGCATAAGGAACTATATCAGCAGGAACGAATCCTGGATAAAATTACATAAATTTTTTTTTTTCTACCAAAAAGGGAACTAGACAGGGCTACAGCCCGGCCAAGCCCCCCCCATCCGTCCCTGTATATCAGGAACACTTCAAGATATATTAATGGAGATTTTATGAAAGATATGAACTTCCCTAACTTAAGATTCCATAATGAGTTTACATAATCTACTTCAAGTAGCGAGTCTGAGAGTAACTAGGAATCAAAGAGACGCAAGTTTTACACTATTCCTCACCTTTGAATATGGTAAGCTTTAATTTGTTTTATACCTTTAGTTGGAAGTTAAGTCGAGGTCACATTCTAAGTCTATATATAATTATTCAAATTTTTATTTTAAAAATGTGGGCTTATATTTTGATGGATTTCAACATATAACATGCAATGCTTATTTCGATTTTATTGCATTCCACAACACAACATGTGAAAGCCTCCCATGTCATGTGTTGGGATGCATCATATTTGTAGCCTTCAATCTTTTCTTGATTTTCTTGTAAGAATTTTTCAAGGGTAGAGTTGTCTCTTTACATGACATTAACTGCAAAAATGAATGGAAAATCATTAATAAAGACGAAATGCGCTAATAAATGAAACGTTTGAACGGGAGGACAAAACGGAAAGGTTGGGATTCATAGCGAAATTTACCCAAAACAAACGGGTGATTGTGAAATATATATTAGTAAATTTGAGTTTATTATTCACTAATTATGATAATTTTTAAAAGAATAAAATTATATATATGTCTCTTAGTAAAATTTTCGGTTTATAGAATTTTGTATGGATTTTTTTACTCATGAGTGATATTTTACTTATATAAATTTTTTTTACATATTAGTTAATATTTAATTTAAAAAATAAATAAAGTTAAATATTTACTTAAAACTTATAGGCAAATTTTACAATTATAAGTTAATTTTATATTTTTAAATAACTTTAAGTGGATTTTTCACTTGTAAGGAACTTTATATATTTTATATGTAAATTTTTATCTTATTAGTATTTTATTTTGTAAATAGGATTTTTTACATAAAAGTTTTTTTTACTTATAAGTAAATTTTTAATTGTAATGTAATTTTTCTTATCTTCTAATTAGTCCCTGTTTGTCTACCATTAATCAAAAAAATTGTTTGCTACATTAAGATTCTCCACCACACATTCACCCAATAAAATATTCTACACACAAACTAGTGAAGTTACTTTAATTTTCAACCACACATTCTCAAAAAAATAATATTCATTACACTAATTTTCTCCCAATAATGGAAAACAAACAAGCTCTTAATCTAGGTTACTTTTTATATACTAGATTTAGACGAGAGTGGAAAGCTAGAGATAGCTAGATGTATAAATCTTCAGTTGACTAGGCACTGTGCGAATAAACAGAGAGACAGAATTTCTCCCAATAATGGAAAACAAACAAGCTCTTAATCTAGGTTACTTTTTATATACTAGATTTAGACGAGACAAAAAGCTAGCTACATGTAGATGTATAAATCTTCAGTTGACTAAGCACTATGCGTATAAACAGATATCCAGTCATTCAAAATTACCTTAGTAATAGAAGAAAGTCATGAAATCTTGACAATCCCTCTATCGCTAGATTAGAATATTTCCTTGAATCCTCGACGCAAGGATTCACAATCTTTTAAAAAGCCCTAAGACCATATTCTTGGAATCAAACAAGTATCAATAGAACATAAGAGAAGTGATTTACTTATAAGTATTAATTATAATGCAGTTTTTTGCTTATAGATAATTTTTTAGTTAATGTATTTTTATTTACAAGTTAGTTTTGAAGAAAATATATTGGCTGAAAATAACTCTTTTATATAGAGTAAAATTATAAAAGTATGGGAAACAACTAAAACCGGTCAAAATTACACTATAGCGATTTTTGGATAGTTTTATAACCATTCAGAATCAGCGCCAAGAAAAATTAGCAAGTACCGATTTTTTCAACCCCTTATGTATATACCACTCAAAATCAGTCAAAACCAGTTAAATAAAAACTCCCAAGCAAGCCCTAAAGCATTAATCTTGTTATCTCAGACCTTTATGTTAGTTATTACTTTTATTTTCAATCTAAATGAATTTTTTTCCTTAAACATGGGAATGGTATAATGGAGCACTTTAAGAAGAGAAAATATGAGGTGACTTCAAAAAATTCAGTTGTTTTAAGATTTCATGAATTACATTTCAAGAGTTCAAACATACCAAACGTATTACACACATATATGTGAATCAAAAGACACTTCACAAATTCAACTTTCTTTTTAATTCAGTATAAAAATTGTTTTAATTAAGAAAAAGGTCGAAAAATTATTTCTAAAAATTTCACTTCAATAAATAATTATATTCAAATTTTGTAATTTATAAATCAATACAAGATGAAGATGTGGGATGGCATGAGTTGAGTTCCAGTTCGAGTTCCTTCATGGCCACTGAGGTGAGTATCCGACCGTAAACTTTAGAGTCCGTGGAATTAATCCACAACTATTTTATACTTTTTTTAAGCCACACATTCATAATAATGATAATAATAAGTAAATAAAATCACTTTTCACAAAATTTATTATCCAAAAATATCTACTCGAGCTTAAATATATTTGCACACGTGAAAGATAAGCAAGCAATACATATAAGCCATTATTATTTATTATTTCATTAATTTAATTTTGATTTCATTCTCAAAATTTAAATTAAGGTTACCGGCTAAAAAACATTACCTTTCAAGAATTAATTGTCGAAAATTTAATTTCTTTGACCTTTTTTAGTAAACCCTATTAAATAATTTATTTTTGAATTATTGGACAAATTAAAGTATTCCACAGAATAATATTTAATTTATTAGCAAGAACACGACAAAGAAAGTTTACAATAGTATTTACTCATGAATTTAAATCAAAATTAAACATGCAAGAAACAGCCAAGAAAACCCTAAAAGCCAATAAATCCACCAAAAGCCACGCTCAGGACAAGTGAAACTGTTGACACCAGAACAACTGATGGAGTAAATGCTGGTGAAGCAAACGAATGGTGTGGCGGCGATGCACCCGGTGGTTTCGCCACCGGAGCATGTGCGGTGGGTGGCGGAGCAAGTGTTGGCGTTCTCACAGCCAAGATAACAACGATAAGCTTTTGACCTTTATTGCAGTTGGTTTTGTTCCCCGTGATGAAATAGAACGGCCCTGATCGATCAAATTTGAAGATTGAATTACCATCTTCCATTTTCATCTTCGGACTGCTGGTGTCGCAGCTGTCGAAATCGTCTTTCTTTACTTCCAATACAGAATCCATTCCTTTCTCGTATTTGAACACTGCAAAGAACAAACAATTATCAAAACAAAACAAAAATTATAGGAAAAAAATCACAGAAACACAGAATCAACACGTACAAAGGGTATCGTTAACTTGAAATCTCAATCTTTGAGCCCAGTGGCTGTAACTTTCTTTAGGGTTTATTACCCAACCCTCTTTGCCTCCTACATTCAGTTGATAACCATAAGAGGAGCACGTAAATCCGACGAAGAATATTAGAAAAAGGGAACTGTATATCTGTGCAGCCATGGAGAAAAGATCGAGTAGAGAGAGATAGAGAGTCAGAGAGAGAAAGAGACTGATTGAAGCAAAAGGTTTCGGATGAAGATGGAGTTATATAGGGGACGAGTTTAGAAGTTACCATTGTGGGAAGAAACAATTTAGCAAAACGGAGAAAATGAATTATTAATATTTTAATATGCAATAAATTCAGGGTTACCTTACCTGTGATTATCTACTGTTACAAATGATAGCACAAAACGAGGACAAAATATAGAGACTTAATGGTAAAGAAAATGTTGAATTGATTGTCGATCCTCGTTAAAACACCTCGACTCAACTCGTTTACACAGAGTCGACAAACGGGGTCTACAAATCGGTTTGGTTTGATTCACAACGCCTAGTATCCATCGTTTACGACTAGGACTACTGGGGGTATCTAATCCCATTTGATTTAGTTGACTTGTAAGATGAACCGATCAAAATTCGACTAATTTATTAGTAAAGTTTTGGAGAATTATGCTAGACAGACGGCAAATGGGTATATAGATCGATTTGGTATGGTTTGGTTGACTTATGAAATGAACGGGTCAAAATTCGACTAATTTGAGCAAGTTTTTAGTAAATTTTTGGGGAATTAGACTAATTTATGAAGACACGTCACTTCTTTTAAGTGTAATTTACCTTGATCCGTTCAATATGGATTTTGTATTTGTTACGTTTTTCGGTACGTTCGATCTATTTCTTTTATTTGTTTTTTCTCGTATTTATGTATAGATTTTCATTCAATGTTAGTATATTACATATTGAATAAAAGTTATTACCATTTCAATGTCAAATCATATGTAAATATTCTTTGAATGTTTTTATTTGATTTGTTAATAATAATGATAATTAATTAATTAACAAGTGCAATAAGGAAAAAATAATATTATTTTCATAGTGATGATTTTTGGGGGTTGAGTTAAATTCTTAAACCGAACCCCTATTCATATGATTTTGGGCAATTTACGCATATACGTTACAATGTAACTGAAAATTGAAAAATATTTTGTTTTATGTATTAATTGCAAAATATTCATTTATCTTATTGAAAAATAATAGCTTCTGTTTCTCATTTGAATCATTAGTTTTCACTTCATTATGAAACATGATTTTCCTACTCCCAAAAGGAAAAATTAAAACTAAAAATTAAAATTAAACCCCAGTTTGACGATCATTATTTCGGTAAAATCGAGTTCTGAATAGTGAATTTTTGGAGAATGTATGATTCAAAAGTAGAAAAAAGTTTGAATTTACGTGCAGAATATTTTATTGCGTGAATTTATAATTAAAAATAAGTATGCAAAAAAAAAAAGTTTCGAAATAATGATTTTCAAACAGACGCTAAACCACGAGTATGGGGATTTATGCCGACTCATTCAGAAGTTATGTTTGTGTACTTTTTTTCTGAAATAAGGACTCACGAAGAAATAACAAAAAATTGCAATTTCAAGAATTATTCTTGTACTATTATGGTGGGCAGATAGTTTTACATATCAAAAGGTTAAACCTCAACCTTGAAGGCCCTCCACCGCCCTGCCCTAGATTGTGGAGGAGGTAAATCGCATGATATGCCTCAACAAGCCAGGGTACAAAAGTTGCTGATAGTTTTACATATCGATCTAACTTCAAAATGTCAAACTGAAAAAAAAAACTAATTAATTTGATATCCAGCTTATAGCTTATAAGCAGAAAACTTATACAAGAACCTCAACAGGCTTCTGTGATGAATATCGGGGCGACTCTACTCTTGTCCATTTCGTAAACTTTGTAAGCAACAACAGCCCTATCGTCTGGACTGAGAGACCACAAATTAGGCCAATCCACAATCCCTGTGACAAACAATATCATCAAGAAACGATTACGAATTCAATTTTGTCTAATACTCGATTTTTTTTCCGAGTAAATTGACTATATACACGTTTAAGAAAGAACGCGAGAACCTGAAGTTTTACCTTGGCGTATAGTTTAACCTTGAAACCGAGGACAGCGGCAATTGTCATGCCAATGAAATAGAATGTCGCCAAATTAATGCACATAGCCAAATGCTGCCAGCCGCATCCTCTGGCTACACCTGTAGAATCGTATAATTGCATTGAGAGAACGTATGGTTGAACGCACTATAATAAAGATATAGTAATCGAACCTGATAAGATTCCTTGGATAAAGTCACATAATATAGACACAACGAGAAAGGGTGTCATTGTGGAATATGAATTGATTATCACCGGACTGTCACTAAACAAGCTAGCCCACAAGTTATGACCGAAAGAAAGGGCTAAAACGACAGAGAGTGCAAAGAGAATAGTTAGCTTTAGCGAGACACTCATGGCATGCTTAGCTCGATCAGGATTTCCAGCTCCCAACTCATTAGACACCCTTGTGCTGCAAAAGTAACGATGTAGTAAATAAGAAGTTACTAATAGAGAGATTTGAAACGCTCACGACGATTTCTTGATAAGATTACCTTGCAGCGGCGCTGAGGCCATAAGCAAACATGTAGGCAATGGCTTCAGTATTTACACTGGAAACATACTTTGGAGAATTAATAAGTACACCTAACAAAAAGAAGTCCATAGAAGAGCGAAAATAACGGAATACAAAACTTACCACATTGCTATTAGCGAAGTAGTAACTTCCGAGTTTGGCATTAGTCCAGCCAACAAAACCAGAATCTCGAAAGCCCAATACTCCAAACTGAGAAAAATATGTGGAATATAAGTTCACCCAGACAAGTTTATATATTACATGTTACTCGGGCTGTGTTCGAATTAATGGGAGGATCAATTGAAATATGAGACTAACCACACCATTGCTGCTGAAGGCAGGGCTATCTTCAAGTTTGAGAAGATGTGACGGAAAGACTCTGACCGGAATCCCTTCCACGTGTCCTCAAATTTCTTTGCTTTAAGCACATACAAGCCTAACATAAGGACCGAGATCCACAGTGAAATAGAAGCAGCTAATGGTGCTCCTTTATATGCAAGCTTAGTCCAATGAACCAAAGCATAGGCGATGCCAATATGGAGGACTAGAGGGAGCAATGAACACACAACCATCGGTATGACAACTGATTGTGTCTGAAGAAATCTCAAGATATTTTGCAACATCCCATATGCAAGTAATCCAGGAATGAGATACTTCAAATAGAGACCAGCTGCTTTTGATATCCGAGGATCTTGATGTAGTAAAGTAAGAACGACATCGGAATACCACCAGAGAACTGATACAGCGATGACAAAAATGAGCGTTATAATACAGGACGCCTGCAGGTATATTCCAAGCATCCTATACTGTTTTGCACCATATCCTTGCCCGCATAATGTCTCGAGTGCACCACTCAAGCCAACCTAGAACATCAGGTAAAAAACTAAAATCGGTGCTAGCCAGTCACATAAGTACAGAAACAAGATATCAGGTAGAAGTTGGTGTAATTTTTCTCCTCCTTTTCAGTCTCGAAATTTCCTCAGTTAATTTAATATGTTAGAATTCCTTTTTTCTCTTCACTGTAGAAATTGTTACAAGATAAAAAAATCGTGTGACGTACACTGTGTACCATAACTTCTCGACCGAATGATAAAAATCTAGGTGAGTTTGGTTGGCTGTGGTTTTGGCCTATGTTGCATGGAAACGGGAAACAAAACAGGACAATACACGACACAGGGAAACGCTATGTCTGAAAAAAGTAGAACATGAAACGCTATAATAAAAATTCCACAATCTATCTAATTTAACTAAGATCTTGACATAACATGATTGTCATCTCAAAAGTCAAAACAATTATCGATAATGAATCAATACTCAAACTAATAAAAATTCATAAGTTCTCAAATCAAATTGCTTCAGCTACATCATCAACATCAATATTTATAACACTATCATCAGCATCATCGAATAACACGGCCTTCATCTCTAATTCAGTTGAAGAAAGATAATATCAAGCGTTTCAACATCTTCAAAAGAGTCAAATTGATCCCCAGCTATATCCCACGTCGACTATCTTCCTCAACATCTCAAGATTCTCGGAAAACAATCAAAATTTGACAAAGGTGGCACAATAATTAGAAAATTTAGGTTTATGTTAAAATCGAGCATTATAATGCTTTTATATGATAAATAAAGCCCATAATTTAAGTTAATTTTAAGCCAAAACACATAATTAACTTAACTTCTGGTTAGAACCCATGATTTTTTCATTTTTTTTTATTTTTTTTTTTGGTGTAAAAAGTATAAATTTTTCCACACAAAGTTTCCATAGATGTTTCATAGAATTTCCGAATTCCGAAACAAAACGCTAGCGTCTGGAGAGTTTCCGTGCATCAAAGGTTTTAGCTAACAAAAGTCCATAGCATAAAAACATGAAGACGAATCATGCCTCTCTACACTGTACAATTTACATCAGCTACAATCTAAATACTGTACAATTAAGATTTCAATCTTGTGATGCATGATTAGACTTTGAAACATGGACATGGTCAAATAAGAAAATAAAATCACATCAATTTCTTGAAAACCCAACTAAATAGAACTAAAAGACAAGAAATTTGATTAAATAAATCTATAAAATCTTCACAATCCAAATACAGTTGAATAATTTATTTTCTTGGAGAGGAAAAAGGGATTTACCATAAGAGCAAAACCAGAAACAGAAGCCCATGAATTGGCAAGGTTTGAGCCGGCGAGCTGGAGCTCTCCAAGGTGGCCGGCGAACATTACGGACACCAAAGGTATAAAATAGTAAGCAACGTTGGTAAGAATCATAGGCAATGCGAAGAGAATCTGATCTTTCGCCTCATCCACATCGATAATCTTGCTCCACCACCTCTCCGCCGCATTTTTTTCCAGTAGGGGGCCGGTCGCCGCCATTGCACCGCCGTCGGAAGACATTTTCACGGTTTCTCCTACCCACTTGCCCAATTTACTTAATCCTCAGTCAGTCTCTTCGGATTTGAAACCTCATAAAACTCGAAACAATCTCACTTCACGTTAAATTTGACATCCAGCATCCACCATCTCCGCTGATTTTTACCACAATCCTTCACATTGCTTGATTTATACAGGCTGGGAGATGTTCTGGAGGATGTAACAAGAAATGTACATGTAACTTAATTCAACTCAAAAAAATACTAATATTTTTTCATTTAAGATTAATAATGGGTGGTCAACATAAATTTTATAAGCAAGTACTTCACACCATGACAAAATATTCCGTCATTGGAAAATAGACTAAACCCCCTTGTATAATAAAAAAAACCAATATCAATATAGTAAAATTTAGAGTTAATTGTTTGAATGGGCACTGAACTCATGTTTATGTCTTCCCTTGTTCACTAAAATTTGAGATGTCGAATTTTGATCACTAAATTTTCAAAAATATTGGTCGTTGCTCACAAGTATAACTTTCATTTAAAACCTCTAATGAAATTGATGACGTAACCGACGGAATGTACATGTGGCATTCAATCACACCGTTAAACTTCGAGATGATCGAATTTTGATCACTAAACTTTCAAAAATGTCTTTAATTGCTCACTAAATTTTGAAAAAAAATCTTCTATTTTTCGCTGAACTTTAAAGTGATCGAATTTTGGTCACTAAACTTTGAGATGGTCGAATTTTGCCCACTAAACTTTAAAAAACTTTCGATTGTTCACTAGACTTTGAAAAAACGTCTTCTATTACTCACAATAAATTTGGATTTAATTAAAATTTGTTGTTAAGTTTTGGATTGAAATTTGAATTTCATTTAACTCTAACAACAAATTTAATCCATTTTTGATATAAATTAAAATTTATATTTTTATTTAACTCAAAGTTAACAATTAATTTTAACTACATATTTATGGGGCCCACAACTTTTTAACAACACATTTCATCAACTTTTATCAAAATCTACTAAAAATCTGATTTTAATCCCACCAAACAGAGACTTATTGTGTATTTCGTTGTAAAATGCAAATATTAAAAGTAAAATAACAAATTTATTATGTATTTCATTGCAATTAGTAGTCGCTTCATTTGCACAGCTTTGCAAGCGTTGTCAATCATAATATGTAAATTTTACGACGAAACATAAAATAAATATGTTATTAAAATTAAATAAAATATAAATTTTAACATTGATTTTATAACGAAATACACAATAATTAGAATTAAATTAAATTCAAATTTTAATCCAACTTTTAACAACGAATTTTAATTAAATCCAAATTTATTGTGAGGGATAGAAAACGTTTTTCAAAGTTTAGTGGCCAAAATTCGACCACCTCAAAGGTCAATAAGTAATAGAAGACGTTTTTCAAAATTTAGTGGTCAAAATTCAACAATCTCAAAGTTTAACGGCGTGAAGGGACGTCACGTAAGCATTCTGTCAACCACGTCAACAATTCCGTTAGAGATTTTAAACAGAAGTTATACCAATGAGTAACGCCCAACATTTTTCAAAGTTCAATGGTTAAAAAACTCGACATTTTAAATTTCAGTGAACAATCGAAAATATGGATATAAGTTCAATGATCATTAAAATAATTAACTCGTAAAATTTAATTAAACGTCGCGCCGTCAAATTTAACATGGCTAAGTTATCGAAACACTTACCTACTCAAGTAGGTGGTGTCCATACAATCCATAAACTTTACTTTAATATATACTCTCTTGAGTACAAGTAATCGTCGATTGAAAGATATAATACAAATGTATATAAGGAAAATGATCTACTAAGTATTGATGTTTAATTTATATTAAGGGCTTGTTTGAACTCATTTTATTGTAAGAATGTATTTTAAAATAGAAGATTGATGGAGAATGTACGGTTAAAAAATAAGAAAAATTTTGAATTTGCGTATAATATTATTCTATTGAAAAATGTTTGATTAAAAAGAAGAGAAAAAAATATATTTTAAAAATAATATGAATCAAACAAGGGCTAAGTATCAATGACACGATTCTTTAATTAATTGATAGATTATTTAATTCTTGAAACCAATCATAAACTTCTCCATTCATGAATTTGATGTGTCATGTCACTGTAATGTTAAGCATAAGTGGCACGATACATCAATTAAATGATGACTAAGTTTACGACGACTCTCAATATTTAATATGCTCAATACATCATTTCGACACGGCATTAATTTTATCGACAAGGGAAATACCACTATTTTTTGTCTTGATCGAAGCTTTACAAAGCGAGTTGTTTGACAATTTTCAACTAGTCCACTCGATTGAGACAAAGATTTCACACACTTTCAATATCAACCACTCTTATTGAGTGACGTAACATGAAGAATACCTGAGAGTGAACCACAAGCACAAAAATTGAGTCGACAAGAAGTTGAATTTTGTTTACAATGATAATCCACATAGATGATTACACGTGTCCTAACTTAAGTTAGACGAAAAAAAAAAAAAATTTACTTACAAAGACTTCCATGGTTAGATATAGATGACTTTCTTTATTTTATTTAGCTATATCGTTTTTGACTACTCATTTGGTATATTTCCATAATGATCAATTTGCTATTTTGGATTTGAAATTCAATAGTAATTTGCAACGTAGTTTCTAAAATGTGATTGTACTAATTTTCGTTGAAATTTTTGAATAAAATCAAAGTTAACAATTAATTATGATAATACGTTTTATAGGACTTACAACTTTTCAACCACATGTTCAATCTATTTTTATCAAAATCTACTAAAAATCTTATTTTTAATCTCTGCAAACAGAGGTAACCCTGTGGTTAAATTCCAGTATCATCATTCCACGGGTCAACTTTTCAACTATATATTTTAGAGTAATGTTATTCATTCCCAGTGGGGATGAAAACACAGTTTACGTGGTTTTAAATGATAAGTTAAATGAAAGGTGATATTAAATGACTTATTTAATTTCACCTATCATTTAATGCCACATTAATGCCACGTAGACTGTGTTTTCATCCCCAGTGAGGATGAATAGCATTACTCTATATTTTATCAACTTTTGTCGAAATCTATTAAAAATCTGATTTTAACTACACCAAATCGGGGCTAAAACAAACAAAAATACTTCACAATTATGCTTGTGTTTGACACCCATTTTGGAGAAAAAATTGATTTGGAATAGTGATTGATGGAAAAATGTGTGTTTAAAAAGTAAGAAAATTTTTTGGGTTTATGTGTAATATTATTTTATCGATAGAATGTGTGGTTGAAATGAAGAAAGAGGAAAAAAATGAGAAAGAGAATGAAAAAAAAATGAATGTCAAACAAGGGTTATATTAGATTTGGTAACAAGAGAATCTCCTTCAGCAGATCTGGTCTGTTAAATTGGGAGAACACAATTCAAGCTCGTTGTTTGCGCTAAATTTTGACTTCTAGATTGCATTTGGTAACATAGACTAACATTTTTCCGTGTTACCATATATCGACTTATTCGTATTTGCATGGCTAAAGAAATTCAGTATACGTCCACAACATTATCGACCCATTCATTTATATCCCCGTTGTAAAATAATCAAAATACCAGAATTGTTCTGATATCAACTATTGTGAAACAAACCACCTGATTGAAATGTTGAAATTATATGACAAATAATAATGAAGTATATGATCAAATAAAAGAATCATAAAGACAAGAATATGGTAGAGGAATTAAGAGATTTTATTGACTCAAAAATAATAGAAAAGAGAGAAAAATTACAATAGATCATATAATTCTAGTAATCTATTTTTTCACACATCTTAAATCGTATAGAAGGGCCTAGTATTTATAGAGAACATGTAGGAGATGTCCAAACCCTCCTAATAGAGTTGTTGATGAAATATGATACCAAAAAATCGAGTCCAAAACAAATTACAATTCCCAATGGGCTTCCAAAATAAAACTTCAATTTGATATATGACTCTAATAGCATTCCAAATTTGAATTTTTCAATTCAACAAGAAATTCTGATCATACCCAAATTCTAACAATCACAAATATATCAAACCTTGTAGGTAAGGCTTAGGCTCACTAACTAGAGTCTACGTCCACTTGATTTTGGATCGCGCTTCATGACTATATATATATATATATACACACACACACGTATGAAAGTATAATATAATAAAACCTAAAATAATAAGAAAAAAATTCATTTTCAATTATACTTGCGATCACATTTCAAGGTTTTAGAACTTAAATGAGAGAAGACGAAGTTTATATGTAAAACATGATTAAACGATAAAGACAAATTTCGAGCTTAAGCGAAGCTTATACATAATTTTCAAAACAATGAATTTTAGAACTATAAATATTCTTTATCCCAAAAGAAAAAGAGTTTTTCAAACTCTAAAAAAAATAAAAAGCAATACTTAAATTGTCTAAATTTGAATTTTATATAATAAATCGATAAAACCTAACAATAAAAGTATATATTATAAACTAATAATTTAAGTCAATAAATTTCTTAAAGAAATTATTTCGAAAACAAAAACTAATAATATATAATTGTTTAATTATTATTTACCAAGTCAAAAAATTTAAATGAAAGAGGGGAGGAACATAAAATCGAACCCCAAGCCTCTTGAATGTAAATCAAGCATTCCAATTTCCAGCATATGAGCTACATTAAATTTTGCTTAGTTGGTATAGTTATTTGGGAAAATTGCAGTCACGGTACTAAACATTTCATTTGTACCACTCACGATATCAAATCTTTCAAAATATAGAGCTGAAGTCCGAATAGATGAAAACTATATATTTGACCGTTAGTTGACCGGAATGGTAAAATTAATCAAATCTAATAAGGGCAAAATCGCAAGTTGACAATTTTAATATAAAATAATTATAATAATTAGAAAAAGAAAAAAGAAAAAAGAAAAAAAGAAAGAAGAAGAAGATTCTTCTTATCCACCACCGGATGCAA